CAGGTTGGAAAAAAGAAATGCTTGTGGTTTTCCTGCTTGGCAGCCAATAATCCTAGACAGTCAGGGATGTCTACAATCTGGAGTTTTTGTTGGTCAGAAAACTCTGGGATGGGCAGGACATGGTGAAATCCCAGACAATTCCAGACAAAAAGAAAAAACAGTTATAATTAACCTTCTCCTTACCCAAGGATGCTGTCTTCATCAGAGTTGATAGCTGCCTTCACTGCCTTGAGCACTTCAGCTGTGTCCACTAAAATGCAAAAAGTCAATAAAGCATACAAAAATCAGTTTTTTTTTCCAAATTGAAAGCAACTGATCACTGCTCAACCACATTTTGAAGAACTCAACCTTGATTAAACAGTAGAGTAACACATCTCAATAGGCTGGAATCTCAAATCCCTAAATCTGATTGGCCTATCCCATGCTTGTTACCAGTGCAGCAGTGACATTTAGGAAATAGCAATTTGGTATAAAAAAAGTGGTTAACTGGTCTAGGCTGGTCAATTGGGAAACTGTGCCTTAGTTTTTGAGGGAAGTGCAAGGCCAAAAGTGGGAGACTGCAGACACAGTTTTTCCCTACACAGACCTCCTGCCCAATGCATAACAAATATATCATCAACACCATTATACCTTTCAGCCCAAAATAACTTTGTGCTGCCACTGCATAATAAAGTGTTCTCATGTCTGTTCCTTCTTTGGCAGCACTTGATAATGTGGCTTCTACTCCCTGAGCAGCTGGAAACTGCAGTCAGAAAAGACAAAGACAACTGTAATTTGACTTCCACAGACATATTGAGTTTGTCACTGAGGCTACAGGTGTTGTAATTTTGTGAGTCAAGTTACAGACATTGTCAAAAGCTTATCCCAGTTTACATTGCACGAGGCAACTAGGAGCATTATTGATCTCACAACAGGTTAGAAAAATTAAACAGTTTACTCCCAAAGCCATGGTAAGGGTTATACATAATGTAGGTTGATAAGAAACAGGAGAGCTTGATCCTCTACTTCTCTTCCCTACTTGTGACATAGAAATTATAAAAAAATCTTTAATAGAGCCAAGGAGCTCATCCTAGTTTCCACAGCATGAAGTGACTAGAAGTATTACTACTTTCCCCTAGATGGGATGCCTGTCCAATGCAAGGTTACCCCCCAGCATTTCATCAGGCTTCCCCAAAAATTTGCCAGGATCCATTTACGTTACTGGGTAGAGAGAGACACTGCGAGAGGAAAGTGTTTTGCCCAAGAACACAATTACATGGCTTGGTCTTAAAGTTGGACCTATCAACCCAGGGGTCCAATGCACCCTCCAATACCCCGTCGCATTTCCCATTAAATGATAATGATGATAATAATAATGACTGTGAATATATGAAAATCATCTAAGTGAACTGGGGATTAAGATGTGAATATGAAAGTAATCTTCACAGTAATGAACACTACTTAAGCAGTAGTGAAAATAAGGCCTGAAAAAATTCAGGTCTGTATGGGGTAATAATGATAATGATGACGATGATCACAACACACAAAACAGCACAGTGCAATGTCACCAAAAAATAATTTCAGAAAACAAGAGAAAGATTTACAAACCTTGCAATTTGCAAAAAACTTTATGGTAGCTGCATAGAATATGGAGGTTACACTGCTACTATCAATGCTATCCTTAGCAAATTTGCAAACATCCTGTTGAAAAGAAATATAACACAAACAGTTACTAGATGTTCTCCACTAAGCCTGCAAGAACACTGACAAGACTTAATCAAAGTCACCTGTTGGCAACCAGCATTTAAAATCTGGTAGCCAACAGTCAATTTTCAGTGGCAATATATAGATTTAGCCAAGCCAAAAAGTGGAGCTCGCATTTTTTTTTCCTGCATGTCTCAAGGGCACAACACCTTGCCCTGGCCAGGACTAAAACCTGGGTCTCTGTGAGCTCTGCTACTAGCAACTAGCTGTTTGTTATTTTTCACCTTGCTCTAATTTCTCAATATTCCAATAATCCAATGTACACATAGGTAATTTAAAATAAGCTTTCAGCTTTGTTCTCTTTTTCATCCTTCACTTAATTTCATTATGGCTCCACTGTTCAACTCTAAATACTCCATTAACACTTCAACCCCTAAGAACGACAAGCATCTAATTTCTCCTTACAATATAACCTCTGAATCACACATTACTGTCATGAGAATGAAAGAAATGATCACCAACTAAAGAAACTCTTGATTGTTAGACAAATTCTCCTTGTCCACACACTAGTAAATGTACAGAGAACAGTATGGAGAATATGATTACTGATATAAGGGTGTAAAGTGTTAAAAGCCTTTTCCTTCCTTATGGCCATCATCACTCAATTTCATAACTACAACAGAAACCTGCTGACTCAAACATCTTCACTGATTCGCTTTTTTTTCTTTTGCGTTTATTCTCATTCATCAGCTTTTGTGTTCATTGAGACATTTTCCAATGTTTTCTGTGAGGTTTGCTCCCTCAAATGGCCAGTTACAATCAAGAATTTTGCTCTTGGCTTATAGCCGATGGTTTTGCTTTTTCTTTTGGACAACACGAGTCTGTTGGAAGGTCTCTAACTTTTAGGGTCTCAGCTTATAGCTGAGATCGGCTTATAGGTGAAGGAATATGGTATTTTAGTTTGGGAAGTTTAGCTAAACGCACTATGACTTCATAAATGTTATCACATTCATATCTATCAAGGTTAACGAATGGAGTGTGTCAATCAGTTACATTCTGACACTATGTATATTGAGTGAAATTCTTACAAAAAGTTTGAGTTATAGAGGTAAACTTGGCTGGAAAAATGGGGTCAAATCCAAAGGTAATTGGATCTAGCTTTGAGTTAGTGGGGTTCTACTGTGGTGGCAAAAAACTATCTTTTTCACTGATAACACCTTCTATCAAAATAATTTTAAAAAACTATCTTTACAATTCATAAACTGGATGATACCTGTGTTGGAGGAATCTCTGCCTTCATCAGTTTTAAACCTATGATGGAATAGGTTGCTGTCTTTAGATCTTTGAAAGGTATAGCATTGTAGAATGTCTGTTTGAATCTAACTTGATCTTCAATGCTCAAAACACTGGACAGAGAAATTGCACTGGTACAGACTACGAAGGCCAACACCACAAGAAGACAGGCACCTGTAAATCATGAAAAAAGAAAATGGCAATTAAATCTCACTGGGTGACAAGCATCTAATTTCTCCTTACAGTAACCTGGCTGAATCAAGCATTAGGTCAAAAGAAGACAGGAAATGATCTCGCTAAAAAGGACCTTCTGATTGTTAAACAAAATCTCCTTGTCGATACCATAGGAAATGTATAGAGAACAGTATCGAGAATGAGCTTACTGATGTAAGGGTAAAAAGCATCAAGTGACAAAGATCATAAAATTACATGTATTTCACTACTTTACATAATTCTCCAACTAAATTTCCATCTATATGTTAAAATATTATAATATTCGTGCAAAATAGTTTGTGGCTGGACAGCTGTTAGACTCTACATATATCTTTCAGAACTTTTGAATTGACTTGCTGAGTATTAAGCTCAAAGTCTTGTTTGCAAAGTTCAACCTGTTAGCAGTCCGCATCACCATTTCAGAAGAAAATTTTCAATTGTGTGTTCTTGAGTCGTAAAAAGTTTTAAGATACTAGAAAATTTTTTGCAGGCCAAGCTGCTTATCATGTAGATTTGAAGAATTTTCTCCAGTTCCTTTGGATTATCCTCCTACTACAAGTTTCTCAATAAAAAGTGTGTTTTTAAAAGACTTATCAGTCCCTAAAAGTAGAACTTGAGATTCTAGAACAACAATGAAATTCTGAGCACAGTAGAACCTCAATTAAAGAACACCCACATGACTTATCGTACAGCCTCCCTGCACATATTTCTAATAGGAATAAAGGTTTCTGCCCATTAAAAAAAGGTGACCCTGTGTCTAAAAGGAAAGGTTCTAGTGAACTACCAAGGGGAATCAAACTTAGCAGTGACAGAGAAATCAGTATGGGTCTTCCATAAATTTGATTTAGGCAAGGGAGATGAAACAAATCAATCCCTTGAGAATACTGTGGCAAGATAAAAGAAAAATATTACCGTATGTACAATAACAGAAATTGATACGCCATGTCAAGTTATTCTCTCTCAGAAATAAACCATATTTCGTCCGGTTATTCACTAGTATGTGGAATCGAAGGAAGAAGTAATTTTAAACGTTTCAGGCAGACTGTTTTTCCTATAACAAGATCCTAGTGAGAGGGTAGACAAAACAAAGGCCAACCGCATTCACAGACTGCAAAAGCAACAATGAAAATCTCCACCATATTTTAAGCCAATTGCCAGAAAACTGACAATTGAAGCAGGCACTGCTTGTAATTTAATCAAATCCTTTGAAAAAAATTCGCTGCTTTGGCGAAGAATATTGAAAAAAGTCAATGAACTGGACTACAGTAATTAATCAGCACAATTCGATTTCCCTGAGTAGGTATAAACACGCGACCATATAGAAGGAACGATCTGTCTAAACATTCAAGATACAGCTGCCTCCTTAATCATGCAGCTCCGAAAACAATAGATCTACGGTAAAACGATGATATACGATCACTTCTATAGCATTTTTCAATTAAAATGTGTTTCACGAACCTCGTGCAGCCATCTTGGAGACGTGTCGTACAAAGAGAGAAAGAGGAGATAGTGAATGAAACACGTGATAGAAAGGAACTCTGTACCAGGTCCTTACGCCTTCCCTTTTTCCTTAACCTTTCATAAAGACCGAAATTTGTCTCTCAAATTCGAACAAATCAGCGTAACAAATATATATTAAGTGTGTTTATTAGATTTTATTTTGATTTCCTAAATTAGTTTTTCTGAAAATTTTCCTTTTGAAAAGGACTGTTTTGTAGCTTATGAGAAGCCTAGTACCCAGACCTCTCCGCATTAGAATATCGCCTGGCGGTAAATTCCGCGCACAGGTCAGTAAACAGCGTCTTGTCAAAATGTTATCTCGTTTGTTTCACATCAATAATCCTTCTTGCGGTGAATCTGAAGCAGAAGGCCAAGAAAGCACATCTTCTTTACTTTTTGATGCAGATATTGTTACTGGAATTGATAAAATCCTGTTGTGTGGGCCGCCTGAAGTTGGAAAAACCTCACTTCTTTTCGAAACGGCTCTGAGCTTTGCTGACGAAGGAAAACACGTCCTGTTTATTTGTCCCAAAAAACTCTCAAAACTTCCTTTACTCGCTCATGGAAGAACTCAGCCCTCAAGTGTTACTTTGAAGAACATACAGATGGTCTATTTGGAAACGAAAGAGGAATTTCTGAATTACATGGCGTCTATCCACATGTCGACAGCAAGAGTTTCTCATGCTATCATTGTAGATAATATTGATGCCTATTTTCCCGCCAATATGAGAAACGAAGATTTGTCGTTAGTTGCCAAGATTTTCGCTCTTACTGTGGATGCTTTCCTGTTTCAAAAGTCCAAGCAAATGTAAGTTTAGCCCTTAACTTTCAAGATCTGATTGTTAACTCTCCCCAACGAGAATTTGGTGTTAGATCCAGATAACAACTCCTGCCTGATAAGTTTGAGTACTGTCATTACTTGTGTACTGGAGTTACATGTTTACCACTGCAGAGAGTTAACGGTTTAAGGAGCCAACATGCAGTTTTTGTAAACTAACCACAAAGTTCTTGCAATGCACATCTTTTTTCTTAAAAAGGTCAGACTCTTGTCTTTTGAAAACCCTTGTAACTTCATGGACCTGCAATCATTACTTGAAATCTAAATGTTAGGTTTAGTATTGGAGATCTCAGCTCAAATACCAGTCTATTTTGTTTCATTACATGATGTTTTTATGGACCCCTTCATATTTTGAATTGAAGAAGTATTGATGTCTTGATCTTCAGTGAAAAAATGGCAAAAAATACACTTTTTCCAGAACCATGACTTCTTATAATAATACATTTGACTCCTGTTATTGCGGACACCCTTAGGGGGAGATTTGGTGTCTTTAATAGCAAGAGTCTGTAATAGCAAGGTAAAAGAGAAAAAAAATTGTTTTGTCTCAAAGTGAATGAAATAATATGTACAGTTCTAATTAAACATAAAGTTTCTAAGATGGCCTCACAAAGCAAAAAAAGATAAGGCTGCAAGCAGGAAATTCTCATGTTTGCACCCAATTGAAGAATAGTTTCTTTATTTTCCTGTATTGCAATTTCACTTTATGTTATGTGAGTCAGGATTTTGGATGAAGTACTTAAGTGTCCAATATGGTCCACTAAGTGTTGCACTGAAGGGGCATGAAAGTGTCTGCATTTCTGTAATAGTAAGAGTCTGTAATAAGAGACATTTATTTCAGTCATGTACTTTCTTCATGTGATTTGCTGGGGGGCTGGCTCTTGTCAGCAATAGCGGGGTGTCCTTAAGGTGTCCATCAGGCAAGAGTCAACTGCTGTTCTGAGAAATGGGACCCAGACTTTTTCAAAATTTTGATAATGTGTCTATGAAGCTATGGTTGTTGTAAAGCTGGATGATTTTCTCCAACACATAAATCACCAATTAGCATATGGAGAAATTCCTCTTTTTAAAACTTGTATGCCAGAAAAAAATGATTTGGTGGATTGTTGAATATTTACAATTTAACCATTTGAAACCTAATGCATGTCTGCATATTCTCCATACTGTTCTCTGTACATTTTCTATAGTGCTGACAAGGAGAATTTGTTTTACAATCAAGAGCTGCTTTAGTTGGTGATCAATTCCTCTATTCTTATAACCTCTATGTTTGATTCAAGAGTGATATTGTGAGGAGAAATTAGATGCTGGTCACTCTTGGGGATTAAAGGGTTAAATTCAATTTTGCTTCTCCTATAGTGATCAGCCCAAAGTCAAACAATCTGGCATGCTATTGATGTCAATCACAGTTCCCACTGACACTAAATCAGTTCCAAGACAATCATTTTATGAACGCTGGGTACAGTTTGTCCTTCCGATCCAGGTGAAGGCTGCAAATCTCTATGAGCTTTCAGTGCTACCTTCCAACTCAGATGATGGCTCTTCATTGGCTAATGTTGTTTACAAAATAGCAGATCAGAATATTGTTGTTCAAGACATTGATTATTGTTCACAATCTGGTGGTTCGTCAACAGAAATGACTTCTTGACTTCTTCCAGTAGAGGCATGGTGACGGAGAAAATAGGTTGGTGACATTTTCTTAGTTTGTGATTGATGTATGTAAACTTTTTTTGCCTTCAGTGTAACGGTTGAAAACTATGCGTATCAACGTAGGCCTGGTATCACTGCTTCCTGAAATAAAACCCCTTTGGCAACGAGGCGAATAAAGCAACTATTAGTATCTCAAGCCCTGAGAAAAGCTGTAACAGCCTACGTGTAAAATTACGGCCCACGTGACGCGTGATGGTCCCAAAATTTGCAGAGTGACGCGTGATTAAACCCAAATTATCCGCGTGACGCGGGACTGCACACGACAACATGATGCGTGATTTTCTATTTTACAAGCCCGTGACGCGTGATTTATAAGACTTACTAATTAGATTCCCGTGATAATGAACGTTCTTTGCCCTAAGAGGAAACCTATCATTCAAAGCGAATAGAGTCTTAACAAAGATCAATAAACCGCGGCAGCCGTGACACTATTTCTGGTCTTTTCCGTCCTTTGCTGACCTTCGCTTGACCTCTGATGTCTTTGATGTTCGTGGTAGGTCCAAACAATCGTAACACAATAAGCACAAGTTACTAAAGTTAACATTTGCACAAGGTATATGACCTTTAGTGATATTTTTGTCGACCGCCTGGTCGTGGTGGGGCGCCAGATCTTATCTAGAAAAACCAGAAAGTATCTGAATCCATCGAATGAAAGATCTGAAAGAATGTCGACCTAAACGACTGAAACGGTAAAAGACGTTAGAATTTTGGTATCATTTTATGCATACCGAGAGGATGGCGATGTAAGCAATGAGTTAGTACACGAGGAAAACATTTTTTAACTTAAACGAATTCAAATGCCACGTTATATCCTTTACTGGCATAAAGACAGTTGCCGTACATAAGAGGATTGGGCAAAGCATTGACATAAATATTGCCTGTGTATCAAAAAAAAATTTTAAGTGGCGCAGACGTCTACTCAATCTTAGAGCCACTAGTGGCCGCAAATCATGTGAAAGATGGCCAAATTAGTAAAGTTCATACTGGTTCTCACGAGATAACTGGGCTATATATGGGTTCAAACTACGAAAACATTGTCAAAACTATGACTATTGACTTATTAAAGAACATACTATGACGACTATGATACCCAGACGAACACCTCAGATGTTGAATTGAAAAAAAAAATTCTTCGTGAACAGAACTTCGAAGGTGAGGCAAACAACAAGCTATTGGATGAAGAGGATACTCAACGAAGCACCTTGAATTGTAAATACCTAAGATTTATTTTTATTGTGCTCTATACTTGTAAAGTACGATTTGATATTGCGATACGAAGCCCGAGAAAACGCTCTCGGAGCGTCTAGTTTCAACAACTAAGTCGTCTTTATTTGTCTAACAAAAAGCAATATGACAAATGAAACGCGATTCGTTCCAGTATAAAAAACGTTGGATTCAATTTAATTTTTGACAATACATCCAATCGTGATGAAAGATAAGTTTTTTCGTTTGTCTCACAATGTAGTCACGTGTGATGTAGATCGCGACGTTTCGACTGCATACTGCTAGTCTTCTTCAGGCGATGAGGTCGTTAAACTTTACTTCGTTTATTGATCGTGACCCTCAAAGAGGCAATTCATTTAAGACTTCACCGTAACAACATCAACAGGGATGGTGGAATAGAAATTGCAGAAGCGTGGATGCCCACAATCAAAAAACAACAACAGGAGAGCCGTGCGACAGACGGACTGCCGAGGGAGCAAATCACTGAGTGAAACAGCAGGGATCGAAATGCACCAATCAGAGCTGTTGAAAAATAACTAATCACAGCAGAGCATCATGCTTTATAAGATCACGCATGACTAGTTGACATCATCGCCTGAAGAAGACTAGCATTATGCAGTGGAAACGTCGCGCTCTACATCACATGTGACTACATCATGAGACAAACGAAAAACTTAGCTTTTATTGTTATTCACTACGATGAATAACCACAACTTTTTTTACGAAATACATCCGATAGGTTAAAATCTTACAGTATTAGCTTAGTATACTGACTCCTTTTACGTCATTGGTTAAAAAAATTATCCGTGATGTGTGATTTAGTAAAACAAATCCGCGTGATGTGTGATTGGAACCTTCCCCCCCCTTTGCCATTCTCTTCACATATATGATTTTCATATATTTACAGTCATTTATTTACGTTAATTTTTCACGTGTGTTTAATATCGCCAATCAGTAACTGACACGTCACTCGCCTTTCGCGCCACTCTGTTATGTTGATGAATGAAGGGCAAAGTCTTCACCATTTTGAATCCAAGGTGGTTTCTCGAAATTTTCCCGGATTATGGCTGCTAACAACACTAAAAGATCTGTGCCGCTCACAAATAGAGACGTTTAAAATTTTCTAAAAGCGGAAGAAAACCAAAACATGAAAAGAAAAACAGAAAGTGACTTGGATTTGGAGGTGGCATTTCTCGCGGCTGAGAGCGAAAATCGACAACTGTTTTTTTATTGTTTATTGATAAAGTCGACTATTCTTGTAGTAAAGGCCTATGGTGTGTCTGTAATATACAAAATAATACATGGTTGCTTGTAGACGTGAAATTTTTCTTCTCGTGTTCAACTCGAACGTAAGAGATATCGATTTGAACACCAGAAAAAAAGTACCATATCAACGCGCGCTCGTCTTTATTCTCTGTTTAGTCGCGTGGTGCAATTAGAATTCGCGCGTAATCAAAGCCGATAGGCTCGCGGATTGCAGTTTATTGCTTAAAGTGCCACAGGTGGCTCTGATCAAAATCGGTCCTCACGAGACACTTGCCTATTCAGATTGTGCGCGTTGTTGCCAAACACTGCTTGAAATTCAAATTTTTGTGTGTAATGTGATTCACAGGTTTGGTAATTACATGCTTTAGAGGATGAAAGCGTTGGATTTTAGCCAAGAATTGCCAAGACTTCCATTTTATATAGCACCCAGCGCAGTGCTGTTCAGATGTTGCAAATTTCACGCGATTGAAACAGTGAAGCGACATGACTCATATAACGATTAGGTTGGGATCTCCGCCGGTTGGGAGCAAGAATATTCGAGAGATTATTAGAATCAAGACTCCGGAAAGTTTTGCTGTCGATACAAGAGAACAGGATATTTATATGGCTGATTCAAATTACAAAGACAACTCTAAGCAGGTGGTGCACGGTATCTGTGAAAATTTGAAACCTTTTGAGGGGTCTCCTTCAAATGTAGATGGAGACGAAAATGTTTACGATCACGTTCATAATGGTGCAAGATCAGGTGATTCAAAACAATTTAATGCTCTTCGTGTAAACACAGAAAATTGCACAGAACGGAGTGGAATGGTTTTAGAGAATGGAGAGAAGAGAATGAAATGTGCGGAAAATTTAGAGACGCATTGCAATAGTTGCGGATTGAGATTTACACGTGAAGAGGTTGAATCGGAACTTTACATAACACGCAAAGATTTAGCGACTGTGCAAAGCCAGTTGGAAACGTTTAAAATCAGGCTTGAAGAGGAACTAGTTGAACGATTTAAACTCGAAGAAGAGCTGAAATCTGAAGCGGAGTCTCACGAGAACGAATTGAAAATTTTAAAGGAGAAAATTGATTTTCTGGAAGAAAATGAAAGCGAGAAAGCTCGGCGGATTGAAGAGTTAGAAAGCCAGATTGTGGTTTATAAAGAAGAGCATGAAAAAAGCTGGGAAGAGGTGGAAAGTTTGCGGAGTTTTGTCGGTAAATATCAGAGTGATTTGAGTAAGTTGAGAGTTGAAGCCAATAATGCGAGTGATCAAGCAGTCGAAGCGATCAACGAGATGGAACTGTTGACAAAGAAATCGGAGAAAAACGAACAGGAGAAAGTTAAGATTAAGAAACAAATGAAATCGGAGATGGAAGAATACTGGGAGGAGGTGCGAGAATTGAGAAATGTTTTAGAAAACTGGGAAAAGTTAGATGGCGAAAGGAAAACGCGCATTCAGTCATTAGAAAGCGAAGTTGCGTCCTATAAAAGTCTCGTGAATGAACTAAAAGAAAATCTTGCTGATCAAAGCAACAGAGCCAGCGAGGAAAGGAGTAAGGCTAAAACAGACTCTACCACAAATGAGCATTTGTTATTGCTCTGTGTAGAATTGAACGAGATCTTTCGGGAACATCTCAACAGCCATGGAAAGTTTTCTGAGCTGTCGCTCGTTCTGGCAGCAACTCAGAAAGATCTGGAAGAGGCGAGGAATCGAAGCCAGAGTCAAAACCAGATTCTACAGCAGTTTAAAAGAGATTACAACGATTTACACGACACTATGACAGCATTAAACGAAGAAAATCGTCACTTGAGGAACAGCTTGGAGAAGAAGTGCGTGGAGGGAGCGGATATCAGACGAAAGTTTCTCGCTTCAGAGACGCAGGTATCGTGGCTCAAAGAGGCATTAGATATTGTTGACAAAGCCACGAAAAAGTCAAGCTGAAAGCCAGTATATTTATGTAGTTAACTCGGCTACTGGAATGTAAAGTAGCGTTTGTTTCACACGGATATCAAACCTCTTTTGTAAACTTTCTTGAAAAAGGAAAATTCGTTATCTATTTTTCTAAGATATTTTATGTTTGTGGAATTTCAGATACTCGTAATATTTATGTTTTCATCTGCTTACATATAAGCCTTTTTCATAATTAATGTGAAAGCATATTAAACAGAATTCGTATTATATATTCAAACATTCTTTGCTAATCCTTCGCAAATTATTGTCAGCATCTTTGCAAACTCTCAAACTCTTGTAATGGAAGATTAGTTTTATCAACAAATAAAGCTTATTACGTTATTTTTGCAAGATTTTCGATTCTACTTACTACATTTAAAGTATTTTCACAAGCGAATTTAGCCAAGTTAAAATACTTGGCCTTCGTTACTAATTTAGCATGGCGTCGCTTGTGGTGGACCACTATGCCATGTTACAGCCTATGAAATGTCTCCGGTTATTAGACTGTCTACCACATGATTCATTTTGGACACAAAAGCAAGATATATGTTAACTTCCGAGTAATGTCACGTTCTTTAGATGTTATTACAGAAGTAAATAAGTTTTCAGGTAGTTTATGCAAATAGAAAGACATTGTTTCCTCGACATCAAAGAACGTAAATAGAACCAACCTGAGCCAGGCCCATTGAGATCAGAAGGGAAACTGGGAACGAGGGAAAGAGCGGGTGAGCGATAAACTGCAGTTGTCAGGGAAACAGCCGCTGATAATGTTCGTGCTTTGCGCGTCTGCTCTTTCGCTCATATCCGCAGACCGATGACCGGACACTGGCTAAGAAATTTTTTTTTTGTAAATTTAAAATTCAGTTATTAATAATAAGTACCAGCCGATGCACTAAAATCTTCAATAGCCACCTTCTGCTGACTGCCCAGCTTTTCAGAAACGGAAACATAAAGAAAATGTTTAACAAATGCGCGAAAGTTTTACTTAAACATTAGAGAAAAGACAGCGTTTCTCTTGTGTCGTAAAAGCATAACCATGTCGAAGTGAGGGAGGGATTACAAAGAGCCAATGAGAACGGATACATAAAAACTGCGCGGAAAAATGAGAGAGACCTAGGCGCGGTTGGTTTTAGTTTTACATATAAGTGGTTGAGAAAAGTGGCGCAAATTTTATAGACCAATCACAGAGCAAAGCGGAGCTCTTTCCGATTGATTGTCGTGAAACGAAACCCCCAAGTTATCACCACGGCCAATCAGAAGAGAGGAAATATCACAAGGAGCGAATGAGAACTTAAAATCAAAACAAGCAAACTGACTGAAGCGCGGGAAAAAAGCAAGTGACCGGGGAGCAAATGGTTTAAAGTTTTGTATTTGATTGGTTGAGATATTGGCGCGAGTTTTCTGGGCCAATCACAGAGCGTAGAAAAGCAAAACCAACACAATCCCGGATTATTCTCAACTTTCTGTTGAAAACTGCTCAAAAGCTATGCGTATGCAAACGGAACAGCTTTGTTTCCAGTCGAACGGGGGAAATGTAACTATGAATTATTTTTGAAGTCATGACTACTCTGCACGAAGCATTTTTAGGCTGAACAACTAATCAATTATCAAGAGGGTTTCCATCTCATGCGACAGGTGTTTCGTACCTTGGTCACCCATGAAGTTTTTTAATTTAAAACGAATTTAAGCTCGCTTCCCTCGGCAAAGGATGGAGTCGAATATTTTGCTGAATCTAAACAGTTCTAATCCACCCGCCAAAACCCAAATGATCATGTTTTAGCTATTTTCACCAAAAAATTAAATTAATTATGACGAAAACAAGCTTAATCCTGGTAATTATCTGATTTCTTTAAGCGACAACTGAAGACCTCACCAAAAACTGAGATACCTTCGTTTTCTTGTTTTATGTGTTATTTTTTTACTTTAGAATTCTCATCAGAAGCAAATTTCACAATTTGCGCAAAATGTCATCCTCTATTTCCAAGGCAACGTTAAAAGCCTTTTACCACGTGACTTTGTTTGCACACAAAGCTGTTTTGGCTACAGAGGAAGTTTCAGCTTTGCAAGAAAAAATTATGTCTTCTGTCGAACTCAATGTACCGAAAAAGTAAAGGTTTTTGTTTTCATTTTGCAGGTTTATTCGAACGAAGGGCTCGTTAAGAATTAGAAAAAAACCCCGTTTCGATTTGTGCATGAAAAGACTCAAGATGACAAAAGAACAGTTGCAGTTTTTATCCATGGGTGGTCTGTTTCGCTCGCAACCGATTCAGGTAAATATTCCTTTTTAAATGTAAAATTCGTGGCCAGTTCTCGATTAAACACCGATGATAATGTTCTTAGCACATGATTTCCATAGCGTTAACGATCTTGTTTGAATTATTTTATATTTCGAGCGCAGAAGAAATTCTTGGATTCTGGGCGATTTCTGAGACTGTTCTAACCAAATATTAAAATCGTCTCTGTCAAGCGCAAATCATGCGTGAATCGAACCCTTTCTGTCAATTTGCAACTCTAATCCGGGGCGGAAATTCAACCTCGAAGCAGAAGTATAATGATGGCCGTATCGTACTGCTGTATTTATTTCATTTAACAACTTATTTTATGTGGACCAATGAGTGTTCGAAACTTTGAAATTAACGCCAATATTTTTCCGATGAACAAAAACATCACAGAATTGGGGTTTGTTTCCAAAATTCAGCAAAATGAAAGAGACGTGAAGATGAAATGATTCTTCGAAACTAGCGGAGACTGCATCAAACGAACGTGTATTGCATAAAATGTTTTTTTTAAATTGTCGTTTTTTAGCCGAATTTTATCGCTTTTCACAGACGCTATCAAATGCAAAACTTACTTACTACCACACGGTTATATCAATCGACGAAATTTATGTATTCTTTTAAAATGACGGTATTGTTTCATTTTGTTGTATGGGCTTTAGAATCGTGGATTCACGCAAAATAAAAATTCATCATGAGCACAATGCTCGAGGTAATTATTTTCCATATGTTCGTAAGTCGCCCACAGAATTCTGGGCTTAGCAGAAGTTTACAAGGCGTTTTCAACCACTGAATGTATTAAAATAAAGGAGCATTTCTAACACTACCCAAAAAAATATCTAGGATATTCACATTTCTTGGTATGACAAGGCAATGATGATTGTTTTTACAGCTGTGAGTTAAATGTTGAAAAACATCTGCAACCTACACTGTACTTACAATCCGGACTGAATTAATGACAATCATTTAGATAGATAGAGGTGAATATTCACTACAATTCACTATATGAGGAATCGTGAACTTTTTCAGTTCAATAATCGAACATAAACAAGCGACAATCTTAGAGTGTACTGAAAGAGAAGTTTGCACGCGATTTGGGAACCTGTCCGCGAAGTCTGTGTGGAGATGGCGCCAGAAACGTGCTTTGTGAGAAACGGTAAATAAGTATACCGGTTGCTCTTGATGTAGAGAGATATGCAAATAGAAGCCGTAGCAATAACTGGCTTATTTACTTCCTCGGGGTATTTTTTGGGTGAGTAAGATTCTGTAAATTTATTAACTCAGATAAGTATATGTGACTTTTTGATCATTAGTTTGTATTAAATTTCGCGACTGTAAGCAGTTGTAGCGTGACAAAACATCTCACCTCATGACGGCGGGGAAATACTTAGTAAATACTTTAATTCGAGTTAACACACCACAGAGAAGAAGAGAAATGAACAGGAAAATCATGTCACGAGACGAATATGAATTTCAAACGAGCGTTGTGGAAGTTTTTAAGAATTCAGTACTAAGATGTTTTTTTGCAGTTCCTCTTGCGGCATGACAGAAAGTTTTTTCTTATTTTCTCACTAAATCCCAAATTGCCGCGAACTATCGTATGTCATTACAAATAATGAAGTTGTAAACCTTAAAACTGAAACTTTTGAGGGCTTTTTGTCAAATGAAAAGTTGATTAGATTTGCCCCGGGAAAAAAGCTAAGGCTTTTTATGTTGTTGTTGTTGTTGTTTTTTTTTTTGAGGATTATGGACTGTCAATTTAAGCTCGCCTAATTTATGATGGCGACCAAATGGCTAGGAGGTCTGTCAAGGTGAAAAAATATGTTCAAGTTTTTCCTTAAAAAGTCCATTCCTCGAAAAATAAAACGGGAATAGCCTTGACTATTCTTGAAAATTTGCCAATGTGAATTACTTGACTTTTTACCTCGCATGACCAGACGCTCGATGACGTATTTCTTGACGTGGACCAAGTCGCCTTTCCCTCTCGACCAATCAGATGCAAAACTAAAACCAAACGCGACTTCCACAGGCGCTTTTGGCAGTTTGCTAGTTTTTACCTTTAAGTTTTAATTTCAGTCGAAACAGCTAAAAAATATGTTTACCCTGCTCTTTTGGAGATTCATCGCCCATAAATTTTGAACCACGTCGATAGGCCAATGCTGGTGAATATTCGTTGCTAAATTTGGGTGAACGTTCTTTACTATGAAATAAGAGGTCTGTCAATTTAATGAACAGTATGTATGAAATGCAGTTAGGTCGCACCTGATGCTGGGCAAATTATACATTTACCCCAACGATAATTATGAAAAACCATAAGTTGATGCATAATTTAGAACCTTTGTCATAGTTTGAACGAAAGTGTTCGTGGTTTCGCTTCTGAGTTTTGGAGGAATTACAATATTTCGTAACATTCTCTGTGAAACTGTATGATTGATAATAAACTTGGTTGATTAAGGAATTAAAGCTTCTGTCGGCCTTGGCAAACTACCTAGATACAACAGGAAGATTATGAAAAATTCTTTCGGTTCTGTTGAATAGAACTGTTTGTAAATAACGCGGGAAAATACTGCAAGCTGATTGGCTGTCGGCATCATTAGCAAATCCACCAGTTTCCAAGGAAGGAGTGATGATTCGGTGAAAGATTTTCTACCGAATTTATTTACTTTGCGGTCGACAAGACCTGACAAAATGGAAATATTGAGTTTCATTCTTGCAGAGGTTCTGCTCTTGAAATTTCTTCTCGAAGGGAAGACGACAAGTTTGCATCGTTTAAGATGTTGATTTGACAATGTAATACAAAAAGCTTTCTTATAGAACAGGTGAGCTGTAATTTTGCACAATGAAACCGAAAGATTGTTCTACGTTAAATGAATTTGCACAGACCAAAAAAGAAACCGATGGATAAACGTTCCTCTATCTAAATAGAAAACTCGAATAGTTTCTGTCAATTTTTTTGCTTTTCAATTCTAATTATACAAACATACAGTTTATTCAGTTAAATTTTGTTAGACAAATGTAAAGTATGATGAGTTCTTTCTTTGGATTTAATTCGACGTAAGCTCAATCAAAGTTTGTATGAAAACTAAAATATTCCAAAGCTACTTTTCTAAGAGTTTAGGCTATGTATTTTTGATCATGGTATTCAAAGGAATCTTTGGACGAGGTGATTTCCTATTTCGCAAAATTAATTTTTTTTATAGTTTCACATGCAGTAAAACCGACCAGCCCCCCTTAACGAAAGTTTTTAACTTCTTTAAATGATAGAAATACTATGCTTTGTGGCGTGTTTTTACATAAACTGCTTCATACGATTACTCTACAATAAAAGGTTTATTTCTTAAACCCATTACGTGTTCCAACTTTTTCACAATGGGCACATAATGATTAATATCAACAGGCAGTTTTCATTTGCATTCTGTATTAACAGCGTAATGTAAATAAACCCAAACTAATGGAGTAATAGATCAGTTAAAAAAACAGGTCAATCAATTGTATTGATCGTCTCTAACTAAACTGGTAGAACAAGACTTTCCATGCGTTACAAGAAATTAACAGTATCGAACAATTTTAAGACCTGTACCAAAGAATCACGCGGATTATACAAACATGGCCATATATGTTCTACCACAAGAAGTATTCAAACAATATGCACAAGATAGTCAATTAATTTACGAGTTAAAATTATATTTGTTCTAAAGTTCTCTTTTTGTTTGTAAAGGGTCTCGATTCTTTCTTTTTATTCAAGACGTTTATGGCTTGTAAACAATACCCCTTGCGTGGAAAAGCCGAGACGCTGCTGATTTTTTATAAAAACACAAAACATGCGGTTTATTTTCAGAATAATTAGAGGACTATCCATTAGGTCTGAAACCGCAAACTAAACAACGAATTAAAACATGAACATTTTCCGACACCTATCGGTTACAATGCTAAAATAAAATAGTCGAGAATTTCTTCCACAGTTGATAAGTCTTGCTTTGCGTCTTTTCTTTAACAGGGCCATCCCGAGCAAAGGGAGATCTTGTTTCATGATGGAAAACAGAAGAGGTAAAGGAAACATCTCGTTAGAAATTGAAAATCTGGAACTGAAAGCGGCCGTAGAGGGGAAGGAGAGCATTATTCGCCAGCTGCAAGACGAAGTGAAAGTTGTACGGGAATCAAAAGAGACACGAATGGTAACCACTGAGCGAGTTTATCGTGAAAATGAGGTTCAAGAGCTCCAGAGCGTGGTACAGAATAAAGAGATTGCTGTTAAACAACTTCGAGAAGAATTGACGCACGCTCATCATAACACTGAACAGGTGTACCAGCAGTACGCACGCGCGAGAGGAGAACTAGAGGCGAAGGACGCCACGATCAGCAGGTTGCATCAAGAAAATGACAGATTACAAGAAACACTGGAGACAACCCAAAATGAACGACTGCAAACGCTGGATAAACTCAGCGGCGTGCAAGTGGAACTCTCTGCACTGCGCGTGGATAAGAATTGGCTAGAAAGTCAGTTAAAGTTTCAGAAAGAAACTTCATCGTCGAAAACTTCGCGGAGTTTTGGTAGCGAAACGACAACTATCGAGGGTAGGGAAGAATTAGTGCTAACTATGGAGAGTGTCGCGAAAGATAAACAGACTTTACAAGAGTTGATCAATACTGCTTCGCATTATGAGGAAATTATACGCAGTCTGGAAAGTGGCAGAAGAACTGAGGGGGTTAGCTCGCGCGAATCGTATCGATTTGCTTCTTCTACATCTTCAAGCCCACGACGAGGCGAACTTTCGAACATTGATGAGAGTTATGTGTTGGAGCTCGGCAGTAAAATGTCGGAAGTTGAAGAACGGTTACAAAAAGCCGTCGTATCGCAAAAGTACCAGTTGCAGGCCGAGAGAGAGCAATTAATTCAAGAATTTAAGAATATGCAAACTCAGCTTTTACAACATCAAAGACACCATGAAATGCAAAAGAATGAAATTTCGTCAAAAGAGACGCTTATACAAAGACTTAAAGCTGCAAAAGCCACTTTAGAGACCGAGGTGGAAACACTCAAAAGCGAGCTGGCAGCCTGCCGAGCAGAGAGTGACAAATATTTACAAGAACAGAGAAAATTTCAACATGATTTGACATCTTCCAGAAGTAAAATCTCCAAACTTGAAGCCGAGTTAGAGAACGAGAGACGGCAAAGAGATATGGAAAAGCGAAGATCTCAAGAAATTAGCTCACACAGTCACACAGAGAAAGAAGAGTTATCCAAACTAAAAATTCAGTTTCGAGAGCAGTACCTGCTAAATGAGAACCACATGAGAGAGATCGCTGCCAAAGATAATCTTGTCCAGCAGCTGCGGGAGAAACTGGAGACAAGCGCGGTTGAGGTGGAAAAATTGAAGTCAACGCGTACTGCTATTCAAGTTTCACAAACGGAAGTTGGACGAGACCGGGAAATTTTACAAGAGAAACTTCTCGCCTCGGAACGAAGGTTTGCTGAGTTGGAGATTTCCTACGAAGATTGCCGACAGAAGAACGAGAGATTACATCGTGAAATGCAGGAATACAAACAAAAGCACTTCAGAGTCGAAGCTTTGGATGATTCACTTGAACAAAAAAAATTAGACCTTGAAAATGAACTTGTAATTGTTCGGAAGAAGTTGTCAAAGCTTGAAAGTGCGTATGAAAGTTGTCAAAAGGAGAAGCTACAGCTTCAGCAAGAGTTAATACCTGCAAATACTAAAATGGCACAGCTGAAAAACGCTTATGAGAGCTGTCAACAACAGAAGGTCCAACTACAACAGGAAGTCCTCTCCTCGCACAAGCGGCTGGGCGAGTTTGAAGCTAAAACGGAGCGATACAAACAAGAAAAGGCAGAAATTCAGCGCGATATGAAAGCTTTAGAAAACCGATTTAACAGAGTTGAGCAGCAACTTCAACGAACTCAGAGCGAAAAGCAAAGCCTGGTGGAGAAATTAGAGGAGGCCAAAAGACGGCTGGTGAATGTTTCGGATGATGGAAAGCAGAGAGATAACCAATGGTATGACCAACAGAAGAAGTGTGATGATCTCAGTACAGAAGTGCAGAACAGAGACAAAACGGTGCACCAGCTTAGAGACGAAAAGGAACTACTGGAAGCTGAAATTCAGAGATTCAAGCAAGATTTTGAGACGTTGAATAGGGAGCTCGCAGCCTGTCAGCGGGAAAAAGGGAACTTGCAAAATGATTTGGTGATCGAGAGACAGCGAAATGCCGAGTTCGAAAAAGATTGCGAACGTCTAAAACAAGAACGAGAAAATCTTCAACGCGAGTTGAATTCTATGAAGGACAACAACGCACAGTGGAAAGATATGTGTGAAAAAATCCAAAACGACAAGGAAAGATTACAACAGGAAGTGTTGACGGCTCAAAGGAACATCTCGAGGTACGAGTCGAGCCGTGATAGCGAGAAACGAACCTCACAACAGGACACCATGGTATTGAGGACCAAAATAAGCGGACTTGAAAGTGAAATTCAAGAACTGAGAAGGAATGAAGAAAGCTTGAAAACTAAAACGATGGAGATTCAGAGGTGCAAAGTGGAATTTAGCAAATTAGAAAGGGAGATTGAAGATGGCGCCAGGCGGTTCGAGCGCGTTAACAAAGAGAGTGAAATGAAGGAGAGTCTTGTGCAGCAGTTGAAAAGGGAAAACATGGCGCTTAAAAAAGAGCTGGACTCAGCGCTTGATGAATCTGGAGATCATTCCACAAGTTATGTTCCCGACACAAGAACTTTTGAAGTTGAGTTGGAATTACTTCAAAATCAACTCGCAGACACAAATGCGCACGTGCGAGAACTTGAGGAAGACTGTGATTCCGGGCGGCAAAAGAACCTGCAGCTCCAAAAGGAGATAGTTTCCCTCGAAGCGAAGAACTCCGAGTTGGAGAAAGCTTATGGAAGACTGCAAGAACAAGAAAGAAGGCTACACCATGAGCTTGAAAGTTGTAGAGGCAGTATTAGCAAGCTTGAAAAAGAGATATTGTTCCATCAGGACAATAAGAGCAAAATAGAGAGCGCTTTTGAGAATTCAGAATTGAGAAAAGACGAGTTGTCGAGGGAAATACTAGAGGTACGAAAGAAGCTCTCAGAGCTTGAAAACCTTTACAAAGCTGCAAAGAACGAAGGTGAATCAACTAGAGAAACAGATCGGGCAAAGATTGCAAAGCTTGAGACCCAAGTAGAAAATTTATCCAAGCAAAAGCAGCAGCTGCAGCAATTATTAGAGGAGAGTAGAGATGCAGCTCGAAGATACCAAGATGAACTGCACAAGGCCCAGACGAGACTGCAAGAGCTTATGAGAGACTCTGAAGTGTACCACAAGGATATTCACTCCAAGGAAACACAAAATAAAAAGATTCGAGTAGAAAAGGAAACTATTGAGAGGGAACTTGAAAGTGTTCAGGTTCAGCTGGTAAACACCACTTCCAGCGTGGAGGCGTTTGATACGGAGAGATACGAAATTATGCAAGAGATGCGCTTGGCCAAGGACAAGGTCCAGGAGTGGGAAAATGCGTACAAGATGCTGCAACAAGAACACGAGAGTCTAGAAAAGGAACTACGAAATGCTCAGAAGATGGTGAATGAGGTGGAAAACGAGTTCAATAAAAGCCAAAAAGATCGACAAAATGAAATCCGTACCAATCACCTGAAGGTCAGCAAGTTTGAGTCACAAGTCCAAGTGGTTCTTAAACAGCGAGACTCTCTGAAGGAACAGCTCGAAGAAGTTCGTGACGAGTTGAAGAAAACCAAAGATGAGTATACACATTTGCAGAAAGAATTTATCCAGCACCAGCAACGATGTGATGCGTATCGAAAGGAGCTCTTAGCAAAGAGTCATCAAATCGATAAATTAGAAGATGAGAAAAACAATTTAATGAGGAAGATGGAACAGATGAGACTTGAACTGGGACAAAACGAAATGACAGGCCAGGCTGTGAAGCAGAAGAGAGACATCTTAGAAGACGATTTGCAGTTAGCTGGAAATAAGATAACAGAGCTTGAATATAATTTGACCTCACTGCGATCAGAGAAGGATGAGATTCAGAAAGACCTATACCGCGTGACCAACAAGTTGACGACTGTGGAGGACTCATACGCCAGGGCTCAAGAAAAAGTGAAAGATCTTGAGATACAGTTGAATGCTGCTCGTAAGGTCATAGGCGATCTAGAAGAGGAGCTATCTATCATAAAGCACAAAGCTTCCCAGCTTGAAACAGATCACGGGTATAAATTTGGTCAAATCGACGATTTAGAGGAAAAACTGGATGCGGCTCACAGGAGTTTGTCTGAGATCGAGTCCGCGTATGAATTTAGCGAGCGCGAGAAAGAAGATCTTAAACAACAACTTACACATGCAGAGAGAAAGGTATCAGAACTCAGGCAGACAATTCAGAGAAATGAAGAAGAAAATGATGATTTGGAAAGACAACTGGATAGCACTCGACATCGAACAACGAAGCTTGAAGGTCAGTTAAATCATGCGCAGAGGCAAAAAACGCAGTACAGAGAACAGTTAGAGGATGTTAGGGCAAAGCTGTTAAAATGCAAAGATGAACTAGTAACAGTACAAAGTCACCTTTACGACTGTCAGCGAAGTTTAGATGCTTTGCGGAAAGATGCTTCCGGCAAGGACAATACCATAACAGAGCTACGAGGCAAGTGCTTTTCTCTTGAAACGACGCTTGGACAGACGAGTGAAACGCTCGACAAATATCAAACAGAGAACGACTTACTTCAACAAAGCAAGCAAGATCTCCAAGAAGAACTTCTGCAAAATCAAGAAAAGTTCCAAGAACTTGAAGCCATGTACAAGCTGTGTGAACATGAAAAGCAAAGGCTGGAGGAAGAGATTCACTCGTTTTACAAGAGACTCGCCGAACTTCAAGGATCTTATCAAACGTGTGAACACGAAAAAATGGACGCACAACGTCAAGTGATGGTTCTGGAGCAGAAAGTGGACAAACTAGAAGCTGCTTTAGAGCAGACACAAAGAGAGAAAGCTTCCTTAGAATATCACTCTGGAGATCTAAATGTTTCAAACAAGAAGACCGTGGATGAATTGACTGTTGTCAAAATTCGTTTGGAGGAAAACCAGAAATCAGTTAGCGAGTATTCACATCAATTGCTCGAGAAGGAAAGGATTGTTGAGGAATGCAAATTGAAGATAACTTCACTAACATCTCAAAATGAATATTTGAATTCAGAATTGACGAAGAAGAAGGAGCAAGTCTGGCAGACAGAAAATGATAGACGAAAGCTACAAGAGAAGTGGAGAGAAACAAGCGATGAAGTTATCAGGATGAAGCCATTGTGGGAGACTGCACAGCGCAAAAAAGATCAACTTGAAACAGAGTTGCAGTCAAACCGAAAGAAGGTGGCAACGTTGGAATCTGCCTTAAAGAAAAACGAAGAGAGGGGAAATCAGACTGAAAAAGAGCTGAATACGTGCAAAAGTAAACTATCAGACCTCGAAACAGAGTTAAACTCTATGCGAAAAAAGGTTTCCGTGATGGAGTTGCATTACGAAGAGGCAAGAAAGGAACTGGAAGAAGTGCGAGAAGAGCTAAGAGCGGCACAAGAGAAGAACACGAGGTATTCTATTCAGCTTGATACAGCTCAAGGCGAGGAGTTAGATCTCCGGCAACAAATCGCGGCTCTGGAGAAGAACGTCGAGAAAGGTGACGAAGAAATCTCAAGTCTCCGTCGAAATAAGGAGGCTTCTGAAGAGGAGCTTTTCACAATACGTAACAAAATGACACAAATGGAATCGACGATTCGCGCATTGGAGTCACAGAAGCAGAACTTTAAAGAGCAATTAACCGATTCGAGAGACAAGACTGTGGAGCTTAAAGAAGAAAACGTTAAGGTTGCTAGTCAGTTAAGAGAGCAACAAGGCCTGGCGCAGTCCTTGAAAAAGGCTCTTGCAAAGAAAGAGAAGACTGTCGAGGAACTGAACGAAAGGATTTCTGAGCTTGTAACAGAGCTGGAAACACTCCGCCACGAAGGAATGACGATAAAAGTATCCTGCGAGACTCTTCAAGGGGCACAAGAAGACCTTGGTGTAAGACTGATGGAGTACGAAAGCAAGGATGAAACGACTCAGAATGAAATAAAGGAGCTTCGTGATTTACGGGAAGAGCTGGAACGGGAATTGAATATTGCTGTTCAAAAGAACTCAGAACAGGAAAGCCAATTGAAGAATTTGCAGCGTGAAAAAGAGAGAATGAAATCAAATCTTGACGAAACTGTCAGGAAGCTTGCCAAACAGTCTGAAGATGGTTCGAGAGTGCAGAAGGATTTACAAGAATATCAGATAGTCATCGAACGGTTAAGAGCTGAAAACAAAGCCATGGACTCTCAAATCGAGGAGCTAAGAGCAGTGAAAGTGGCTGTGGAGAGCGAGTTAGCAAACGTTCGCTCGGAATATGAAGAAGATAAATCAAAGAACGAAACAAACGAGAAGAACATCCGAGAAGCTGATGATGAACTCAAGCGGTGCAAAAATGAAATCTCGCGATTAGAGGACTTGATATTTGACATAGAGAAGGAGAGAAATACCTTAAAAAAAGACTTGCAGGTCTCTAATTCTAGATGTCTAGAGTTCGAAGGCTTGGTTGTGAAGTCTTCTCAGGTCGAAAGCGACCTAAGGCATGAATTACAAAGCTACAATAATAAGATAATTGCTTTGGAATCGGAATGCAAAATGTCTAAGAATCTAAGAACTGAAAATAATCGTGAGAACGAGCTACTGGGAAAGAAGTATCGAGATCTTGATGAAGTATTTAAGAAAAGCGATCGAGAAAGAAAAGAAGTGAGACAAGAGCTGATTATAACGCAAAGCAAATTGCAAGACCTGGAATACAAATACGAGTATGAGTGCAATGAACGAAGCTCACTGTTTAAACAGCTGGAAGAAGCAACTGGTCAACTATCTGCCGCTCTCGACAAAACCCTCAATCTAGAGCAGAAAGTCGCAGAACAGACGATTCTTTTAGATGTGGCCAACCAGGAAGTCGATGAGAAGGACGAGGTTATTCGTCAGCTGAAGAGCAGCAAGATGTTTTTGGAGGGGCAGAGAGATAACTTAAAGCAAACTGTGGCGTCCGGAAAGGAAGACTCTGAACGTCTACAACAAGAGATTACTCGTCTCCAACGCGAAAGCCTTCAGCTGCATAAGAGGGCGGCTGAACTGGAGTCAAAGCTTTCAAAAATGGTCGCAGAAAAAGAGCGAGCTCGAGAGGAAGTCAATAAATACAAGGACGATTTATTTTCTCTCAAGAGTCGCCTGAATGAGTCACAAGAGGAGAAAGAAGATCTTGAACACCAACTTGAGGAGTACAAACAAAGCGCTTTAAATTACAAAAATGAAGTTTTGACGTTCCAGCGGCAAGTCACAGAGCTCACTGGTCAACGTGACGTGTTAAAGGAGACATTGGACGCAAAGGAAGGATCTATGGGGCAGTTACGAGAGTCTAAGAGAATTTATGAGGAAGAAACTGAACGATTACAAAATCTTCTAAAGGAAAAGGAAAAAGAGAACGATTTGTTGACCACAAAGAGGAAGGAGTTGGAAACTAGTTTGAGCTCTGCGTTGCAACAGCTAGCAGAAGCAGAGAGCACACTTAAGGCGAATCAAGAAACTGTTAGAAGACTAGAAGGGGAAGCAGATTCTCTGAGAAATAAACTGGAGGATATGGAAAGAAAGCTGACAGAACTCAGAGAGAGGGAAAATGAAGTCCAACGAAATAATATTGTTTTAAAATCACAAATATCAAGTTTAGAATCTGGTTACCAGGCCTGCCAAGGGGATCGTAGCGACCTGGAGGAAGAAACCCAGTCTCTCCGAGATGAACTGGAGAAAACAAGAAAATTACGAGACGAAGAGCTTGAAGAACTCGACAAATTACGATCCGAGGCGCAAATGAGCAGAAATAAAGTGTATTCTTTAGAAACGCAGATACAACGAATTGAAAGAATCAAGAATAATCTGGAACAACAAGTCAATACATTGACACCTGGGAGTAATGACACTAACGGTGAACAGATCCGTCTCCAAAGAAGAGTCCAAGAACAAGATATTCTCCTTGAGTCTCGCAGCAGAGACTGTGCAAGCAAAGAGGAAACCATTGAAATGTTTAAGGCGGAAAACACCACCCTGAAAGTGGATGTCAGGAGTCTGCAGGAGGAAAATGTTAGTATCAGGTCAAGTATAGAATTGCTTCAACGTAAAAAGGATGCTTCTGATAAGGAACTATTCGATGCTTTGAAGAAAGGTTCAGAGTATGAGCTTCGCCTTGCCACGGCACAGGAGGAAAGCGATGAGTTGAACAGAGAGCTGGTGGAAAAGCAGGAAAAAGTTTCCAGTCTGCAGGAGGAATTGTATCGAGCTCTGAAAGATCTGGCGAGTGTAAGACACGAACTGGAAGATGTACAATCTCGCGCAAAAGAAAGTAAAGATATAGTCGCTGATTTACAGCAGCGCCTTGATGAGAAAGAAACAGGTTTTGAGACAAACAAAAACACTTACGAGGAGAAGGACAACAAGATTGATTCGTTACAATTAGAGGTCAGCACACTAGAACAAGAGCTAAAATCCTTGACAGAAGAATTGGGTAACGAGAAGGAAAGACACAAGCACACTCAAGAAGAAATAGCTAAATCGCAGACGGAATTAGAAGCATGTGAAGCACGTGCAGCCAACTTGGAGGACACTGCAACACGTCTTAGAAAGGAAAAAGATGATTTGAAGAAGGAGGCTTTGTCGAATCAAGCTGTCGTTGCTGATCTCACAGAGAGGTACCAAGCCTTACAGAGGGAACACGAGGGCCAAGAACACAAGGCTATGTCACTGCAGCAAAAGCTCACCTACTTAGAGGAAAGATACAGGAACATATCTGAAGATAAAGACAAACTCAAGGAAGAGTACCATGTGCTCAAACGAGATACATCCGAGATGAAAATTGCACTGGATAGCGCTCAGCGAGAAAAAGGCAAACTTGAGGGCGAATTGACAGTTGTGAAACAACAGAGCATAGACCTGAAAAGTAGAGTAACTGTAATTCTTCAAGAAAAAGACAAATCTTCTGTGGAAATCTCATCCATGAACACTTCACTAACAACATTGCAGGCGGACTACAACACGATTCTTTCTCAAAAGGAAGAAAAGGACAAGGAAATAGTTGAACTTCATAAAAAATTGTCCAAAAATGTTTTTGAGCACGGTGAATATGAAAAAACAAAGGTTTCTTTACAAGGAGAGGTCCAAGCACTTCAGAGAAAGGTGGACGAGTTGGAACACACTGTAGAGTATTTAGAACAAAAAGACAAACAGCTTCAAGGAGAGTTCATTGATTCTCACAAAAAGATAACAGCACTCGATCAAGAACTCATTGTGGCTAAGAACAAAATTACCAGAATGGAGGCTTTTAGTGGTGTGGAGAAGGAGAAGATGAAAGTCCTTAGCGATGATCTTTTCAATGCGGAGCAGAAAGTAGCACAACTTGAAACTGCTTTGACGTCAAGTCGAGAGAAGGAGTCACAGCAACAGAACGACCTCATGGCTGCTTACAAGAAAGCAACTGACTTTGAGGTGGCTTACCAGACAAGTCAGACGGCGAAGAACCAACTACAGCAGGATATTAACATGTACAGGAATAAATTAACAACAAGCGATCGTAGATTGCAAAGCGAGATTAAAAACAGAGCACAGCTTGAAAGCCAACTTCAAGACGCAAAATTCAAGATTGAAAATCTGAAGACAGAGGTGGTGAAACATCAAAGAAAACTAACCCAACAGCAACAGGAATATGAAACCACACAAAACGATACTGAAAACAAAACCAAGGTTATTGAGAATCTTCAATCATCTAAGAGGAGCCTTGAAAATGAAGTCCATGATCTTCGAAGAGATCTCACAAGTTTAAAATTGACTTCTGAAAAACTTAGTCACGAGAACAAAGAATTGCAGAATCAATTGGAGGTCAGTCAAGAGCGCCTGGCAGATGTGGAGTCTACCGCTGAGTTGAGCACCATAGAGAACGACAGACTCAGAACAGAGGTACTGCACCTGGAAACGTCGTATCAGGAAGCGCAGCTGGTATGCCAGATGCTACAGAAAGAAAAAGAAGTTCTTAATTCTCAGCTCCTCGAGGCTGCTGCCCCAGATTCGGTAGATTTTGGATCGACGGATGACTCCCTGAAGAAGGAAAAGGAGGATCTAGAAAGTCAGCTCTCCAAAGTTGAAAAAGATTTAGGATCATTGAAAACTACTCATGAGGACATGTTGACAGCGAAAACTAAGGCTGAGGAACAACTGGATGCAGTGAGGAAAGAACTAACTGACTTACAGTCAAGTTATCAAACTCTTCGGTTGGATAATAACAGAAACGTTCTGGAGCTTGGAAATGCTAAAAAGCGATTAAGCGACGTGGAGGCGTCTTGCGAAGAAATAAAACGAGCTAAGGAGAAGTTGCAAGGGAACTTCACTGACGCAGAAAGAAAGCTGGTCTCCCTTGAAGCAAGTTATGAATTGTGCGAAAGCCAGAAAAACGACGCTACCAGAGAGTTGTCAAACATGGAAAAAAAGCTTGCCCTGTTGGAATGCTCTTATAACAGGATTCACGATAGGGAGACAGAGTTGGAGCAAGAAATTCTTGACTCGCACAAGAGGGTTACAGAATTAGATTATGAGCTGCAAGCAAAGAAGGGGCTCCTTGAGGATGCACAAAATGTTGTGCAAGACATGGAAGAAAGGAATGACGTCCTACAAGTAGAAGTCCTTGACTTGCAAGGGAAGATTAATGAGTTGGAAGCCACTTGTGAAATGTGGAAAGAAAAGGCAAATAGTTGGGAAGAAGAGGCCAAAGAGGCAGAACGTAGAGTTAACAATGCGGAAGAGGTTTACAAATTTGGACAACTTGAGAAGACGGAACAAGAGAAAGAGCTGACCATCTTGAGAGACAGCATCTCAACCTTGGAGCGTGAAATTCAAGAAGGAATCAGGGAGAAAGAGGAATTACTATCAGAACTGGATGATTTAAGGAACACTAGTTTCACTGATCAAGACGATGTGAACAACCTGAAGACAGAAATAAAGGAGTTACAAGGAAAAATCTCGGACAGTAGCCGAGAATTTGACGAACAAGCGATCGCTTTAGAGGAATGTAGGAGACAACGGGAAACACTGGAAGACGAACTTGACAGGCTTAAGAGAGATTTATTGGACAAAGAAAGATCCAACGAGGATTATGAGAGAGAAAATAACGGGATGCAACATGAGCTAGAGGTGATCAAGGATGAACTAGAAGAAAAGGAGAGGCTACTGAAACTATGTGAAGAAGAAAAGGAAAAGGTTCGCAATGAGATGATTACAGCACACAATCTGGTATGTACACTGCAAGATGATGATCGAGCGAGTGAAGTTCAGACCCTCGTGCTGCAGCAAGAACTGGAGTTCTTGAAGAAGAAAGCTGCTGATGCAGAGAAGGAAGTACAAGCTTTCAAGACCAAGAATGACTCATTGAGGCAAGATCTTGTTGATGGGCGCTTTTCGGGCAGCACCGATCGAGAATCCGTGCAACAGGAAATCCGAAGCTTAAGGAATGAACTCCAAACCAGCACTGACAAATACCGTGAGCTCGAAAGGTTTTGTAAAGAAAGCGAAGACGAGAAACTCGGCCTTCAAAGAGAGCTGTTGGAAACACACAAGAAAGCATCAGAAATGGTGATGGCACATCAACATTGTCACCAAGAAAAAGAATCATTCCAGGATGAAATAGCAAATTTAAAGAGAAGACTACAGGAGCAAGGAGATGCAATGGATGGTACTAAAGACGGAGCGCTTAATCTTCAAGACGAACTTCTGGATTTACACCGAAAACTCTCTACCACGGAAAGTATGTACGATCGTTCTCAAGACGACAACAAAAGACTTCAGTCAGGTTTGGAGGATGCAGAGAAAAAAATTAGCACTCTTGAAAATGAGCTTTTCCTTGTCTCGCGTCATGAGGTTACACAACTTAGTAATGCCTCTGTTGACATTGAGGAGAAAGCTTTCCTTGAAGAAAAGCTGCATTCTGTCGAGACCAGTTATGCAGAGTTAGAAGTGACCTACCAACGTATCGTGCAAGAGAAGAAAGAAATCTCTGATGAACAACAAGCAAAAAGTGAGGAGTTATTTCGTATTCAGAGGCTACTGGATGAAAAGACCAAAGAAGTGGATTACTTGCAAGAGCAGCTGAATGATCGCAGCAATAAATCAATTTTAGAAACGAATCGTTTACGAGATGAACTAGAAGAAACTCTCGAGAGGCTACATAAGAGCGAATCTGAATTATCGGCTAAAACTTTCGAGTATGACCGGGCAGTCGATGACCATCAACGAGTAGTGTTTGAGAAAGAAAGCCTCAACAGCGATCTCAACGCTCAAATAAGTTCTCTTAATTTTGAAGTGTCCACCTTGAAGAGAGAGCTGGTGTATACCCGGGAAAACAAGGACAGCTGGGACGAGGAAAGGAAGAATTATAGAGAAGAAGCTTTTAACTTGAGGAAAGAAAAATCACGCGCCGATGAAGAACTTCGTCTAATTAAAGATGATTATGAGAATATCAAGGAAAGGTTTTCCGTTATGAAGACAGAAAAAGGTCATTGTGATGAGGAAAATGGTAGGCTCAAAGAGGAAATACAAGCGGCAAACCTCGAGATTGACCACCTTAAACGAGAGATGTCAATGAGTAAATACGAATATGACTCATTTGAAAATGAAAAGAGCAGCTTTAAGGAAGAAATTAACACCCTTAAAGTCAGTAGATCTGAAGTTCAAGAGGAACTTTGGCGGGTGAAACGAGAGCTAGAGAAATTACAGCGGGAGGCTGGAACTAGAGAACGAGATCTGGAGGCATGGGAAAGAGAGAGATCGACGCTACAAGACGAAATCAAGACTTTCCAAAGCGAAAAGATAAGTCTCACTAAAGAGAATAGAGAACTGACGCGAGAAATAGAAAGACTGATGGCTGATATAGCATCCAAAGCTGAAATAACCGAGGATGTAGGAAAAGTGAGACGCGAAAGGGAGGAATTCTTCTACGAATACACAGTGATCAAAGAGAAGTACACCAGGATTGAAGAGGAACGCAGTATATTCCTGATCGAGAAACAAACCTTGGTCCAAGAGAAGCAGAATCTGGAATTTGATCTTAATGACTGTAAGAACAAGTTGCAAAGGTTTGAAGAGTCTAATAGTTACTTAGAAGAGGAAAAACGTCGTTTGGAGTACGAATTGAAAACGGCTCAGGATCGGCTTTTGATCGTCGAAAGGGAGTTCGATTCCAGAGCAATGGAAAAACAGAAAATCTCTGAGGAAGTCAGCGGCATGCGTTTTGAAATAAGAAAAATGGAAATTGAGCTGCAAAATGCTCAGAGGAAACTGGACGATGCGAACGATGACATCATCGCCAAACAGGGTCGACTTGAGAGACTGGAGGGAGAACTTGGAGATCAAAGACGAGAGTGCAAGTTACTTGAGCTGGACCGAGAGCGCAAGGCCAATGAGGTTAAAAACCTGCAAGACCGGATTGACGAGCTCGAGCGCGAGATTCAGAGCTTGCAAGATGACTTGATTCTAAGCCACAGAGCATATGAGCAGTGTAAGAGACAACTGGAAGACTTTGAATTGTCTGATGACCAAACAGAAACATCCACGCTTCGTGTCGATGTCACGGAAAGGCCTCAGCAGACAACGACTCTGGACATTGATGTGAAACCACAGGTTACAACACTGGACATCAATGTGGCACCACAGAGGACATTTGAATACAGCTTTACACCACAAACAGAAGAGTCATACGTAACTCCGCAGACAACAACTGAATACAGCTCTGCGCCACCGACCTCAAGAACTCAATTTGACGCCAGACCTCAAAGAACTTCGGAATACAGTTTTACTCCACAGACCACTATTACAGAACTCGAAATAACGACACAAACAACTACACTCGACATCGACGTCCAAGAACGTCACGAAACGACTGAACTGGAAATTGATATTGAACAAGAAACGAAAAATGCACCAAATGCATCATGGTCCACCGGACGTGCCTCATCTTTTCAGGTGTATAGGGACCGGAAGTATGGACCTGTGGAATTTGCTCTCGAGGAAGAGGAGGACGGGGGATATGAGATTGCACAAATTGAAAGCAGGAGAGAGCCAAGAAGAAGATGGAAGTATTAAGATCCTAGTGATCTTGGAAGTTTTAGGGTTATTATGGAGATTGGGATGACTAGGACTGTGACTGCGACAGTTGGGGTGACTTTGACCATTTTTTGGAGGATTTTGGAGAAAATGAAAGGTTTAAGATTCTGATGTTCTTAAACGTTTAGAAGTAACAATATTCTGATCACAATTTGTTGGGATAACGGTCTCAAGCTTTGAGATGACTGTGGCCATTGTTAGATTCTCTGGCAGATACTGGACGTTTTAAGATCTGATGTTCTTAGACGTCTTGAGTGTTATCCCACTTTATTGGGATAACTGTGACGCAAGCGTTGGGATGGCTGTGACCATTTCAAACTTTGCTGTACTTTGCTTTGTTATGTAAGTGTGATTTTGTGCCCCATGATGCTGTGTACTCTTTGCATTTAGATACCTTTTCTCGGAAGCGCGTTTTTAAGATTTAATTTTTGTCGCTTAAGATATTTTAAACACAATCAATGGTCAATTTACTGATATGAAAGCCTACGTGCTTTTCTTAGGAAAAATTTTCAAAATCATACATTCTTTGTATTAGGCAATTGTTATTTTATGTTAATGATTAATGAAAAAAGGGTTCTCTTAGGAGTCTTCATCTGCCAGAACGTACCATGTGGCATATATATGTAGCTTTTCTACCGTGTAAATCTCTATGGAAATGATTTTTGAAAAAGCTAGGTTTTAAGTTGTAACACTTTGTATTAAGAGTGTCACTGCATTTATCTTAGTACTACAGGTGTTGGTAGTATTGTAACTCGTCAATCGAGAGATACACGTTTAAGTTACATTTTTTTTTCAAATGATTCAAAAGCCGTTATTAAACGTGAGGGGTATTTATAGGGAATTACTCATATGATTTCAGGAGAATGCTTAACGCGCGTTTTAAGTCTTCATAGAATTATATTTAAATTCAGTCGAATTTGGTTTTCTTATAAGATTTTGTATGGCTTCAGGTCAACCAAGATCGTTTCAATGAGTATCTATTCCTTGATAAATAAAGACATTAATAAAATGTGTGGTCTTGTTTTGCCCGTTAATGAATCATCCAGTTTAGCTTGGCACCTCGTGAATCATTAGACAGTCGAACCTGTGTCCAGAGGTCACCCACAGGGAACGACGCAATGACTGCTTACTAAAGGTTGACGCAGATTACAGGTTGTACAGAATAGGAGTAAAAAAAAAGCGATGAAAAACGCATTTTGTTTGCCATAATTGACCACTTAATTTACAAAAATTCACTCATAAATACTACTAACATTGATTTTGGGAGAGAATCGTGGATTAAATTGTACTTGAAAGATTATTCTTAATTTTATTTGAGTACCTGCGCTTTTTAGTGACCGTACAACACAAGTAGCGGACAATACAAACAGACCGTTAGGACTGAGTAAAGGATGACTTTGACCCCTAAATGGAAGTAAAAATTAGAGTACTTTAGGGAAAAAATTTTGGGACTTTTAAAAAAGACCGCTAAATACAGGGTGACCGCTTACTACTGTGCTGCTTAATACAGGTACCATTGTACGTTTCCTTTAACCCTTTCACTCCCAAGATGTCATCATTAACTCTCCTTACTGTCTGCCATTCAATTATTATTATGCTTGTTCGGAGAATTTGGTATTGGATCAACTAATAATCCCTAAATTAATATCATTCTTAATTTTCATCCCCTTTCTGTCTGACATTGTATAGATTTTGTAGGGAGAAATTCTGTCTTGGTCAGTTATAGGAGTTAAAGGAAAACGCTTTTAACGAATATTTCGGTAACGTGAGTGGGAAAGCGCATACCGTAAAAAAATCAAGACCACGAACGTTGAAAATATTATCAGTTGGAAGTTGATAAAAGTCAAATTAACGAAGGTTGCCAACTGCGACAAACGCTAGCGCACAAAACTTAACCTCATTTGCCTAATCAAATGCAAAAATTTAACTCTAAATCAACCTGACTACAATTTTCAAAATACATTTTAACTAAGCAAAAAACCTTTAAAGAAATGAATCTAAATTTTCAATTTCTTTTACTGAATTTTACGGTCAAAGTTTTCAAAAATTTTCGTTTCAATGATTTTGAATTATGTAAATTTTCGTTTTCTGAGCGAAAAAGTTTTTTTCATTAAGGTCTGAAAAATCCGATGAGATACATTAACGCTCTAAATTTGCCAACGGAGGCAAATTCAATTGCCGTGCTCTTGTTAAATATCCTCGTCCAATGTTACTTCCAGAAATCAAATAAAGATAAAATTCAATAACAATTATCGTATACGTGCATAAATCTTAAACAGACGCTGTTGTGTTTTGAAAAATATTGCTCCAGTTTTGAGCTTTCTTTCCTGTGCATTGTAAATGGATATATTTGCGAGCTGTTTATTCAAGCTCGACTTAAATTGTTGAATCAATATAACAGGTATGAATGTTTGCAGCAGCAATATCAGATTATATTCTGCGCCAAAATTTGAACAAATCAATGAAAATGATTGATTTGGCCAGTATTCAAATGTCAGAAATTTTAGACTCTAAGTTAAGTTCGTTTTTTTCACAAAATTAAATGACAGGTCGTACAATGCATCAGCCAATCAGGTGCCAGTTAAAAAAAAACTGGTCTCCATAGTTTCAGAAAATGACACGTACACCTGTCGTAAACTTCACAACTGACGAATCACAAAGAAAAAGAAGGAAACGGGAAATAACAACAAATGGCTTTTTTGCATAATAGATATCAGCCGCTTTATTCCTGATTAAATGGCCTCTTACAAAATTTCACGAATAGAGAACTCATGACATTGTGGTTTCACCGAGAGCCGAGAAATTTGAAGACAACTTCAGGTGCTAAACGTCCAAAATCTATCGTCAGGGATGTATCGATGGGAATTTTGACTTTGCGGTGAATAACAGTCAGTATATTTCTTCGGGTAATAATTTCAGTTTCAGACTTTGCGGTGTGCATTTTCATCACGTATAAAAATAAGTTACGTTCGTTAGCGAACCTGGAGAGTGTTGCAAAGAAGGAGTCCTATCTATAACGTGAAGAGGCAGAAAGTCAATACAAAAGCGTCTTTATCTCATGAGGATCCTCCAGTAACGTACATGGTTTATTTTAGCTTCAAAAGTCGTTGCGGCATGCTTGCCGCGACTTAAAAGCGACTATTAACGCTGGATTATTTTCGACTGATTGAATACATGGCAAATTACGCACAGGAAAAAGAACAGATTCACGAACAGCTCGAACTAGCAAAGGAAACCCTGAACAAATTAAGGGCGCTTACGGATCCGAAAAGCGACTCGGAGAATTTCCAAGGTGTACCGAACGGTGAATCAACCACAATGAACGGAGAAAGTGAATGGGATGGTTACCGAGAGCTCAGGCAAGACAGCGACGAGGGAGCAAGTTCTGGAGTAGGAATGGAATCGCCAAATTTGGATCTTAGCCCGCACGAAAGTACAGATTTTATAGAAGGTGATAAATCACGAGTGGCGCGTGATAGTCTGGTGAGGGTGCTGGGTCTTCAAGTATCGAAATTAGAGGACGATCTAAAAATGTCACTGTTGTCCTATTTTGAACAAATGGAAGCCCAGAAAGAAGATTTAATCTCTAGCTTTGAAATTATGCACGCGCAGCTTTTAAGGCATCAAGAATCTTGCCAGCAACACCGTGAAGAAGAAGCGGAGAAGGATGCTTTAATCGAGCGGCTGAAAGCTGCTAAACAAACACTTGAAACGGATGTGGAGGCATTAAAACGAGAGAATATGCTACTAAAAGCGACGGGTAATTCTCGCCCACGTGAAAATGGACTCCGTGGTTATCGAATAAAACCTGGTTACGTTGAGCATGATGACCTTAGCGAAACGCTCATGAAAGAAAATTCTCGTTTAAGGGAAATGCTTCGTAAATACGAATCAAATGATTATGCTAGACTTGAAAGAAAAGTCGCTCTTCAGGAAAAGCTTTGCGAGTCTTATAACAAAGACATGAGCTCTAAAGATAAAAAGCTTAATCGCTTGGAAGCTGAAAACAAAGGTTTACATGAAGATATGAAAACACTTCAAGACGAAATTTTGAGGGTGAATGCAACACGTTTGAATTCAGAGCGAGATAATACAAAATTACAGCAAGAATTGCAGTTTAGCGAGGAGCAAATAAACACTTTGAGAGAAAAGCTTAGTAGCTCGGAGCAAGAGCGTTTGTATTTACAGCGTTGCATAAGCGACGCAAATTCCAAAGCAAACTTGCCTGAACTGGAGAAAGGCATTTTGGTGCTACGAGAAAAGTGCGAAAGTTACAGAGATAAGTTGAACGACAAAGAACGTTTCCTTGAATCTGTGTGCAAGGAGAAACAAGGATTCATAAAAGCGATCGAAGAGCTGAAAAGAGAACTGGCCGCTGTTCGAGGCGAAGAGAGGTCGCTGAAGATAGAAAACGAAAGACTACAGAAAGAAAACGCAGATCGGGAGATTGATCGTTTGAGCTCAGAAACGACGACTGAAGCACAAGGAAGTGCAATTTCTAAAATGAAGCTGCATCTACACGAATTGCAAGGAAAGGTTGATGAATTGGAGCGGCAAAAGAGACAACACGATGACAAAGAAGCGCAGTTAAGTCAGGATGTTCTCGCGAACTTGGAAAAATACACCCAAGTTGAGCAACAGTTGTATCTCGCTAAGAAAGAACTCGCACAAGTACGCGGATTTTACGAGTCCAGTGAGGAAAAGAAGAGAGATCTACTAGCAGAGGCTGAGAGGTCTAAAGAAAAAATTTCGATTTTAGAGAGAAGGATACAATCCAAGAAAGTGAATGAAGAAGACGAGCAACGAGTTAGTGATATTGAGAAGGACGTCCAAGAACTGAACTTGGAAAATCAAAGATTGAAGGAAGATTACGAAACAAGCAAAACAGAAATCGAAGAGTTGGAAGAAGCATTGCAAAGCGCACGGGAACAAAACTCTTTGCAAAGAATGAGATTAGACGCTCATGAAACTCTCATGAAGAGGAAAGATGAAAGAATTAAAGAACTACAGAATGAACTGTTGGAGCTTCACAACCAAATGGATGCATTAACCGATGAAATTCTCGGGAAAAATCGTCAGATGGAAGGTCTACGAATGGCGAAGATGTTGCTGGACCAAGAATTGGACCTACTAAAATCTGGAAAATTACCGATGCGGTCAACCCAAAAAGAAGGTGCAGCTAAAGATTCCTGGCCATTTAACCCCACAGCGGGTCCGGCGAGTCCAGATAGCGGGTTCTCAGACCTGGAGAGAGAAAAAGCTATTGACAAACTAAGAAGAGAAATTCTCATCCAAAATAAATTTCATCCTCAACAACCCGTTTTGTTCGAGGAAAATGTGGCAACAAACGAGGACAGTAAAACGAAAGCTGCACTTGCACTGGAAGCTCGCAGGCTTAAAGAAACTGAGAAGCGACTGGCGGACGTCATTGCTGAGAACGAAGAGCTTAAAGATCGTGAAGAGGAAGCAAGGAGCTTACAACTTCAAATCGACTCGAAGCTTCGTAAGATGATGGAAGAGAACAAGGAGTTGAGAGAAAAGGAGATGTTACTCGCGCAAGCATTGAAGGAAAACCACAACATTAAATCACCGGTGGAAAATCGCGTGCAGCAAAATAACCCGCAGCAGGAGAAACTTGAAGATATTTTGCTTTTTGTCGACGAGCCGATAGAGACAGCCATTTTACAACCTGTTGTGGAGGCAGGTTTAGAGAATGATGTGGAATGTTTAGAAAGTGAACCTGATGGAACACTCATAAATTTTGCCGATGAACAAGATGGTCCGTCTATGAAACCTGTGATCGAAGGTGTTGATGAAATTCAAACCAATGAGAGGGAGCTGGAAGGTAAAGTTCGAGATTATGAAATAAGTCTGGCCAAGATGGCAGAAGATAAGGAACAATTATTGTCAGAATTATCAAAAACTCAAGAAGACCTAAAAATTATGGAGAAGAATTGTATCTCTGTTCAGGAAAACAAAGACAATTTTCAAAAGATAATGCAAGAGGAACTATTTGCAAAAGATGAAGAGGTTGCCAAGTTACAAAAAGAGCTGTCCGCGTTATGCAATGAACGAGAGGATCTAAAATCCTTTGTAAATAGCTCCAAGGAAACAGGTTCTCACGTTGAAGAAGAGTTGTTAAGGGCCCAGAAAATTATTCTGGATTTTGAAAGAAATCAAGGACTTTCACGCGAGAGAGAACAATCTCTGCAAGAACTACTTCATAAATCAGAAGATAGCAATGCAAATTTGCAGGTACAACTAAGTGAAGCCCAGAAACAATGCCGAAATGCAGACCAAGATGCTAAAAATTTGCAGCAGCAGATTCTTCACTTGCAACGAGGTTCTGTAGAATTGGAACAAGAGGTTAATGATTTGCAAAAAATGCTCTCTGAGGTAACAGAGAAGGAAAGGGCTGTATCTGAACAGCTTGAGAAGTGCTCCGATGCCCAGGAGAAGCTGCAAAGAGCACAAGAAGTTATAGTGGAGCTGGAGAGACAACAGGAAATTTCACGCAACACAGAAGAAACCCTAAAAGCAAATTTAAACCAATCTGAAGAGAGCTATGCCAATTTGCAAGTTCAGGTGGGCGAGAAGGGGCGTGAGTATCAGAGTATGGAACAAGAGGCGACAGCGTTATTACAAGAAATCGCTCTTCTTCAGGAGGGTTCCGCAGAATTAGAGAGGGAAGTGAACGAGTTACGAGAAAAGATGGCTGAAGGAGAAGAGAATGAACAAAAAGCTTCTGAGAGTTTGAGAAATTTGCAAATAGAAAACGAACACTTGCAAGAACAACTGGTGAAGGCCAAAAACAGTTTAGAAACTTCACTACTGGAAAATAAAGATGAGATTTTAGCGCTGAAAGAAGATATCAGAGAGAAGGAAAATCAGATAGAGCAACTTCAAGACGAATTAAATCTCTCTGAACAACGATATAGTGAAATTAAGTCGTTATCGAGCAACAATCAAACCGAGATCTCTGATCTTCATGCAGAACTCATTGAAACCAAAGAGCAATTTTACACGGTTTCACAAGAAAAAGGAAGACTTATCCACAATTTGAAAGATGTGGAGCACACCATTGCAGAACAAGATGAAAAGATCCAAGCTTTGGAGTTGGAGAGGAAAGAAAATAAGAAGATTATATCTGAGAAAGAGAACAAAGTGGAAGATCTTGTCGATAAGCTTGAAGATTACGAAAGTGAAAATAGTAAGTTGGGAGCAGAAAACGAACGTCTGAGAGAAAAATTGGAAGAAGCAGCGGAAACGCAAAGTGAAATGGAACGATTACTGGCTGAATCTAAATTAGAAACGAAAGAATTTGAGCAGCAGCTATCAGCAGCTCATGAAAGTATAACAGATTTAGAAACAGCTTTCGAGAGAGGCGAAGACAAAAATGCCCAAATTGGGGAAAACTTGCGCGAGGCCAAAGAAAGAATTGCAAAACTTGAAATGCAGCTGGATGAGTCACAAAGAGAGAGTAGGGCATTCGAAAGAGATTATAATGATATAGAGAAGGACCTTGAAAAAGCACGCGCGTCTTTGGATTCAAGCAAGGAAAAGATTGCAGCTTTGGAGAAAAAATTGAGAGCAGCAGAGGAGAGTATTGCAGAACTTGAAATGGCTAGAGATAATGGACTATCAAACGAACAGTTCTTACAGCAAAAGTTTGCAAATGCAAAGGAGAAAATTGACAAAACCGAAGCAGAAAACAATGACTTGAAGGAGAGACTGACAAAGATGGAGAGGAAGTTCAATGATTCACTTTCCAAACAACAAACACTTGCAGATAAGAAAGAAGAACTGGAGAAGACAACCAATGAAATTCGCCACGAGCTTGAGTATGAAAGAGAGAAACGTTTAACTTTGAAGCAGAAACTCGAAACCAGAGATAGAGATAATGAAGTTATTCAAAGAAAAGTGAACTTGTTGGAGAAGAGTAAAGCCGAGAATGAGGACATTCAACACAGAGACATGGAAGAAAAAAACAAGTTGCGGGAAGAATTATCGAGGACGAAAAAGATGTTATCCGAATTGGAAGCAACAAGAGAAAATCAAGAAGAAAACATCAACGAAATGGAAGATTCGTTAAGAGAAATGCGAGGGAAAACTGCCTCTCTTGAGCAGAGGCTGGAAGATGCTACACGAGATAATGCAGACCTACATGAGGAACTTGAAGAACTTAACCGAAAGTTAAAATACTCGAAGGAAGAAAACTTAGAATTGGAGAAACGCTGGCAGAAACAGAAAGAAATCAGTGACGAATTCAGGAATAATTTAGCAGAACGCGAAGAGAGCGCTTTGAACTCAAACTACAACCGTGATGCAGCCGAACGAGCTCTGCAGTCTGTGAAGAAGGATCTCGCGCGCAAAGAAGCCAAGTTGAAAATGCAGAAAGAACACATTGATGACTTGGAAAATGAGTCTGAAAAAGTCAACAAGAAACTCAGGGAAACCGAGTTGTCCTACAAGAAAGTAAATATCGAGAATGAAAGGCTTTCAAAAGAATTAGCCGACACAAAAGCCAAGCTAGCGAAGTTGGAGGCGATGTATAAAGAGAAAGCAAACCTTCCGACGGATTCCGAAGTTGCGGTCGCGAGAGTGTCGGAGTTGCAGTCTAATCCGGAGAGAGCAGATAAATTGATTCGAGACTGGTCCGACAAGTTAAGCACCGCTCAAATCAAAGTAACCGACTTGGAAAACGAACTCCTAAAAGATATAAAGAAACACGAAATAAGGGTGCAAAGGACATCAATGGGAACAAAAGATTGGAGGCGAAAAAGCGCTGATAATCTGTCAGAGTACGGAAGGCCGAGCAGAGCACGACAGCGGCCGAACAGGAGCCGAGACAGCTCCGTCGATTCACTTCGATCAACTCAGTCTATGTTCGACTTTTTCGACGAAAGTAGTGTACTTAATGAAGACAGGGCACCCAGTAATTTATCTAGGGAGGATATGCCAGTGGAATCAGATAATGAGAGCACGATTGGTATCCCTGTTGTGAATGTAATTCCATGCGATAGTGTTACTGCTGATAAGGTAAAAACAAACACACCCAAACAAGAACGTTCACAGAAATTAGACGATGATAGCAGGGAAGTCTCTGGTGTCCAATTTAATAAACCAGTCAGAGTAGATACTCCTGATACCCCAGCTACCGAGGACATTATTGACATTATAGAGCCACACATCGATTTCACGTCACCAGTTCTCGAAAATTCGCCAGGAAAGCAAACAGCTTCACCAGAGATGGCAGAAGATCTGTTCGATATTACTCGAGATTTACCAGATTTCCACACCGATTACAGCCACGCTGACATGACTGAATCGCCGAGTGAAAAACAAACTGCAGAAGACTTCGCAGACGATCTGATTGACGGAAATAACTCCTACATTGATTACCAACGATCAGCGGTCACTGAATCTCCACCAAGTCGAGCAACTTTGACGCATACGCCAGATGATGGTCTTGATTTAGGAGTAGATGATGCTGTTACCTCGCAGATCGACTATGAACCGTCACAGGAATACCAACAACCGCTGTTGATTAAACCACCTTCAGATGATCTGTTTCAGTTTGAGTCCCAGGCCTCTTACACCTCCACCCTGACAAACGTCACTGACCTGACTTTGCAATCACCATCTCCCCCTGTATTTCCTGAGCAAACTCTGCTGGTCTCGTTTGATCCGTTAGATCTCCCACAACCTCAGTCTCAAGACAAGAACGATGAAGAAATCCTCGATCCCTTTGAGGAACTAATGAGAATGAGAGAAAACCAACAGAATGTCGACGGCAAAGCAACTGGCATAAATGACAATGGTGATGTCTTTTTTGACATCACAGATGACTTACAAAGCGACGATGCTGATGTCACGACGAACGATGACGTAGATAGTGTTGATGTTGACATCACTCACGTTAAACCAAACAACAACTCCTACACTAATCACAAGACGCTCGGCGACGTCATTAACTCGCCGAAAGAATCCGCTCCAGGCCCTTTCAACACTAAAGACAGAAGGGTTGACGGAAGGCAGCCAAGCAACTCGCCAATTGGAATTGGCGATATAAATCATGTGACAAGAGCTAAGGGTAATGTCGTCAACTCTCAAGAAATAGCTGAACCGGGACCAGTCCCTCAACCAAGGAAAATTAAAGACAAATTAAAACCTGCACTGTTTCCTCGAGGGAGCAAGAAACAGAAGAAAGAAATAACAGAAGCTCCGCAGTACAGTGTTATGATTATGGTAGACGATGTAATTGTGCCAGCGCCTTCAGACAAAAATTCAAGCTCTACTCGCGAGGAAAAGACGAAGAAGAAGCGAAAGGCTATGACTGCCAACATCGAGCAAGGTGACGAGATTTTTAAATCACCGAGTGAAATAAGGAGAGAGTTGGAAGAAGCCAGTAAAGGTGGCCAATTAAAACAAACTACATCCAAACAAAATGAACGAAAACAGAAGCAGAAAGTTACTGAAAAAAAATCTAATCAGTACCACATTGAGGAAAAGAAGAAAGAAGTAGTATTGGAGAAGGGAGAATCTGAAGATCAGGATGAGGCAATGGGAAAAGGACGGCTCCAGAAATTAATAGCAGCTTTTGATAAGAAATAGAATTAATTTTTTTTTAAATCTTTACATTTGTTACAACGGTAGAAAATGTGAGTCTTTATGGAGCGAAAACACATTCTAGCCAGCCTGGGAAGTTGGTAAAAATTTTACAAAATAATAATTCAAAGTAATATCTTTCAACAACGTAAAACTAATTTTTTATTATTATTGTTCTATTTGTATATAAATTGTAATGTATGGATAATCTCCAAATACCCATGGCCTCAAAATAAATTTGAAATGAAAATTATCTTTGCAAAAAAGATCAGGGCAACCTAAAATTCTACTGAGGAGAAAAATTTGTGCTCAAACCCAAATAGACCCTAACATCAGTGTGCATATTCTCCATAGAGTTCTCTACATATTTACTAAAAGTGCTGACAGGGAGAATTTGTTTAACAATCAAGAGCTCCTTAAATTTGTGATAATTTCTTTAACCCTTTAACTCCCATGATTTTGTTAGTAATTCTCCCTACTGTCTGCCATACAATTCTTATGATGTCAATTTGGAGAATTTGGTATTGGATCAACTAATGATCCCCTAATTGATATTTTACTTTATTCTCATTACTTCCATGCTTGATATTGTATTGATAGTGTAAGGAGAAATTCTGCCTTGGTCACTCCTGGGAGTTAAAGGGTTAATTCCTTTAACCTTTGTGCGTGATTCAGCATTGATACTGTAAGGAGAAATTAGATGCTGGTCACTTTTAGGAGTTAAAGGGTTAAGGAAAAGTAGCAATGAAACTTTCAAAACATTACTTTGTATATAGAGGTTATTGAATCTTTTATTTGATTCAGTTTCAAAATTTTTATTTTACAAATAACTAAAATCATAGAGAAATTCAACAGTCTAAGTGAGCTCTTCAAATATTCCACTCTGGGACCACATGCAAAGGAGACTGATGTGAAATTCAGCTTGTGGGTTTCCAAAGAGTTTCTGTTCAAAAAATAGAGTACATATATTTAATATTCATCGCTTCATGGGTTTATACAGAACCAACATAATGACCAGCTCCCAGTTGGCTTGTTAGCTTAGTCGATAGAGCACTGCACTAGTATCACAGAGGTTATGGGTTCAAATTCTGTACAGGCCTGAATTTTTTTCAGGCCTTATTTTCACTACTGCTCAAGTAGTGTTCATTGCTGCGAAGATCGCTTTCATATTCACATCTTTATCTGCAGTTCACATGTATGGTTTTCATAAATTCACAGTCATTTAGTACATATAATGTAAATATTTTTAGTCAACTTAACACAGTTTAGATGCTGATACTTTTTCATTTATATTTACAAAGTAAGACGTATTTCATAAATGCAAGAAAATGTTGTACAAACAATTAATGCTTGATTGTGTTGGCCAAATTGAGAAATTTCACTTAAACAACCAAGAAGATTTTTCACAGATCTGAAACTTAATTCTTCTGACTTGTTATAGAAGGCCAAGAAAAATCTAAAATAATCCTATAAAAGGGGTAGGCTTTTATAGAAACTGTGCTCCTGCATCGGTGGGGGAGTATAACAAGATAATCTGGTTTTTTTAACTGAGTTGATGATGCAAATTGGCCACCATAAAGAGGTTCTAAAGTTGACGTTTCAGTGTTAGCCCCTCTGTCAGAGCTAATGCTCAAAATTTCAGCAAAAATAATTATAAGTTGATGGTTACTAGTATTTTGTGGCAATGGAAGATCTTACGCCATTGCATTGAATAACACAGAGTATGTTACTTCAACAGTTACATTGTATATATGGCACTGCACAAAATATAGTGATAGTTTTTTACAGGATCAAGTTTCATTGAGTTTGTTAAGATAGTCTTTGAATAAAAAGAGGAAATTAAACAGAGATGATTTAGAAATATTCTTAACAGTGTTATATTAAGAAAATAAATTTTCTGCTTGTTAGAACTGAGTGGAGTGAGTCGATATTGTGTCAGTCGGAGGCTAAGGGAATTTAAACCCCTTTACAAGCTAACATCAGTATGCATATTCTCCATACTGTTCTCTATACATTTCTTAAGGTGTTGATAAGGAGAATTTGTTCTATAATCAAGAGCCTCTTTTAACAGTTGGTGATCATTTCCTTTATTCTCCTGCCCTTGTGTGTGATTGACAGGTGATGTTGAAGGGAGTAAGTAGATTCTAGTCACTCTTAGGAGTGAAAAAGTTAAGAGTTTACATGAATGTGGTTCCTCTAATTGACTTGTTAAAAAAAAAAACAGGTTTATATACTAATCAATGAAGAATAAGTAACAGAGTTTCTCACCAAGAGTCTGGCCTGTTCTGGGGTTAGAGTGTCACCTTCTTTGCAGATTTGGAAATCGGTTTGAAGTGTTATGATACCTACGAACAAAATTATTTTGTATTATGTTGGTGCTATGCTGGCAGAAGGTGCAATAACCTACTGGCTAGTGCACCAAACTCTGGTTCAAGAGGTACAGGTTTTAAGATCTGGTGCAACTATAACATGTGCTCTAATGTAAGATTCTTTACTCTACCTGTGCCTACCGACTCAGGAGTATAAATGGGTGCTGCATGAAAGCCTGATAAATTTCTTATGAGAGGGAGCCTTTTAAGTATCAGTATTCCATTTAGGGATGAATCACTTTAAGGCACACTGGGTTTTTCTAAGTTATCAACTCTTCCTCAAAAGCACACCCAGTATATGGGGGTGTCCCAAGATGCAGCCCCGTGTAAAAAGACAAAAACATCGCACACCCCAGTTCAACAGGAAGATCGCGTCTTTCACCTTGCCCACTGTTTAAATTACAAATTACTCATTCCTAAAAGCAATAAGTCCCCACACCCCCCCCCCCCCCCCAAAAAAAGAAATAGAATAGAAAAAAAAATGACAATAAAAAAGGCCTTTTATTCCTGTACACACAAATAAGTAATGTACCTTTTTTAAGAGTTGTATTAAGTCCAAGCTGTCTGAGTTGTGGTTCCATCGAGTGCTGAAACTGATCCAGTGGACCTTGTAAACAAAATTAATATATTTTTCATTATTTAGATTGCCATGTAAAGAAACTGAATGTGCAAATTTCTTTTTGCTACAGAATGAGTTTTATACCTGCATCTATTGTGACATCATCTGTTGCTTCATTGCCTGACCTGGCATAATCCAGTTCACTGTAGTCGTTAAACCATCTGGAAAGCAAACAAGAATGGAACTTATACAAGTTTGGTGAAGGTAGTGACTCAATGATGACTAGATGGCTGCCTGATGATTAACTGACTGACTGACTGAATGACTCACTGACCGACTGGCTGACAGACTGACAGACTGAATGAATGCCTGACTGACTGACTGACTGACTGACTGACTGACTGACTGAGTGAATGAATGACTGACTGACTGACTAGCTGAAAAGTTGACTGAAGTACAGGAAGATAAAATGATGGAATGATTGAGTGACTTAATGGCAGACTGTCACAGTCAAATTTTACCTCACTACATCTTCTTTAGCTTGATTTGTAAACATCAATCCACATTGTCCTTTTAATTTCTGGAAAACAGAAGAAAATAAATTCAGTTTTCTTCTATATTCAGGCAGTTTGCTAGTTTACCTATTTAATCAAAATTGTCACAAAATTCTAGAATGTGATTGGTCATCAACAGATTAATTTGAGCTTGAACAGGACAGTGTGTGCATCATGGTTGTATCTGGACTGTGTAATGGGCACTGTATGTGTCATGGCTGTGTAATTGGACACTTGGGGGATGGGGGTAGGAACTCTACCCTCTAATCAGGGGGGTAAGGAACATAGCTTCCAGTGTGATGGTCGGACCTTGTTTCCAAAAATTCCTAAACTGGGGCACCTGAAAATATTCCCTTTCAAAGTTGTAAACTACTCAATGTAGCCTGGCTTAAGTCCCCCGAAGAGTACTGTAAAGTACACTGGAACATATTCATATTGAGAATGTCGTATATAAACTCATTAATATCATTATCTAAGCCCTATTACCATTAGGAACACTGTCAGCTCCCAGTTTTAGTTTTGATTAACTTTCAATTAGAAATTTCTTTGGTATGGCTGTCAGGACAGTCAGTTAACCCTTTAACTCCAAGAAGTGATTCACATGTATCTTCTCCCTACAATATCCATCCACTATCCAGCAAACAGGTAATGAGAATACTCAAATGTATCAGGTAGAAATTGTTTTCTTGATCTAACACCAAATTCTTGCAACTAATTTACAAGGAAATGTGTAGCAGCTAGAGGGGAGAATTAACAATCAGATCCTGGGAGTTAAAGCATTCAGTTATTACTCACATTAGCTATCTTATGTAAGTTTTCCTTATATTCTGTTTCCTTTTCTCTGCCAAGGGCAATGGTCATGACTTTATTCTTTCCAAAGAAAAACCTGCAAGAGAAGAAAACAAAAACTGAACGAGGACTATTAACTCTTCACACCCTAACATCAGTATGCATATTCTCCATACTGTTCTCTATACATTTCCTAAGGTGCTGACAAGGAGAATTTGATCAACAATCAAGAGCTTTTTGAGTTGCTGATCATTTCCTTTATTCCTGTGACCATAATGTGAGATTCAGAGATGATGTTGTGAGGAGAATTTAGATGCTAGTCACCCTTAGGCATCAAATGGTTAATGCTACACTGTTTTAAATGAAGATCTACATAATTTTTTTTTCAAGGTGTTCAATAAGTATGAAGAAATAAAACAAGTAAATTATAATTTCTGCTATCATTCAACTTACCTGCTATGTTTCCATTCGTTTCTCACTTCCTTAAGTTTACTATTCCTCATATTTTCCACAGAGAATACGTACATGAAGGCATAATTGTCCACGCACTCTTGGATCTATTTCACAAACAAATCAAATAGTGGCGTATACTTTTTTTCATCAGAAAATCAGCTGTAAACACTTATCGATAGTTATGTTAATGGATTTACAATAAGCCAGTTTACCTCCTTCACCAGTCCTGTTTTTAACTCCAAGCCCTTTTTCTTCGCTTTGGTCAATGAAACTATAAAAGAGATAAATATATTATTTGAAGAACGAGATAAAAATCGTATCTTAAAAAAAATAAAACTACCCAAGGAGGAACGTCTGGTTTGATCAAATGAAAGGAGTAATCGAAAGAATAAAATCTCCTAGATGTTCATTTGAAATACTTTATCATCACAAGCCTCTTTCCCAATTTGGAGGTACATCAGTTGGATGGTTTATTTGGACCCAACATATCGACCAGCTCCCAGTTGGCTTGTTAGCTAAGTTGATACAGCGCTGCACCGGTATCGCAGAGGTCATGGGTTCAAATCCCGTACGAGCCTGAATTTTTTTTCAGGTCTTATTTCAACTACTAGTTCAGTAGTGTTCTTAGCTGCGAGGATCTCTTATATTCGTTTCTTCACCGCAGTGCACATAAATGAATTTCATATATCTAAAATCATTATTGGAGGTACATGTTTTCTCAGCAGGAACTACAACATTTGGCGTTGATTTCTCTCGTTACTCAAATGATTAAATATGAAGTACATCTGAGGATACTAACCTGCCCTATTTCGTTTAGATTTTGGCATTTTGTGGATTAAAACCTTGTAATTTTGGGGTAAACCTCTGCGGCTTTATCAACTCCACGTGAATTTCTTCACTGCCAATGGGTATATCCGCTGTACACAATAAACAAATGTTCGTATAAGCGAGCAATACTTGGTTCCCTAATCGAAATGTTTTTACCCCCCAATAGGCAATTGCACCACCACGTTCTTCCCTTTCAATCGCCGCCATTATGAGGTAGGGAAGATATTTTACCATGAACCAAATCGAGCCATTTACATCTCGGTAGTCGCTCTAGAATTAAATAGTAGGCCTGGATCTGAGAGAGAAGGGCTCATCTTCACCATGCTTGTATTAATCGAGGGGAAAACGAGTGGAATACGTAGAAATTCGATTTAGCACTAGTGCACGTGAAAAATAAGTAAACTTGATACTAGTGAGTCTATATGTGTCTTGGTTTGGAATACCCGATTTTTTTTGTTGTAATTCAGAGTTCGAGAACAGCAGATTAAGCTTTTCTCTCTTATAAAAATTGTTTATCACAAGGCCAAAAATGACACCATATATTTTCACTGCGACACTTTGAACATCAATTAATTTGTTGTCATGCAGTTTGTGTAGCCGGTTTGTACGGTCGCATTTTTATGGTGATGTTACTAACGTACTATTGTTAAAGAAAATAAGTATTTAAAATTTCCTGTTAAATCACAGTGTAATTAAAGAGTTCCGCACACTTAGCGAGCAACTCCTTGCCTCTAACTAGGCTTAAATTTTTTGTGAATAATTATGGTGCATGTAGAGGTGAAGTGGGGTTTAAATTTGTCATAGAAGTGTTAAAACCTTCAGGTTGCTGTAAGATCTTGTTGGGGGTAACTACAGAATGCAGTGATTGTAGGTTCTAGCTTAAAGACACCTTGTGGAGATGAGATGATCAGAATTGGCCCTGTATTCTGTATAGTTGAAAAAAAAAGTTTTGTTCTGCTAACATGAGGTGTAGACTGCAATTCTGAAAAAATGTACAAAAGTATAGAGTTTGAGGGATACATTGTATGACTTAGCAGACATCACTGAGTGACTTGTGTTGATTTTCTCATGTAGTACTTTGCGACTACAAAAGCGGCTGGCAGCCAGTGTCCTTAAGTGTGGAAAAAAGAAGATTTGGTTGGATCCTAATGAGACAAATGAAATTGCTAATGCCAACTCACGTAAGTTCTGTTGTAACTACTCTGAGTAAGATTGACAGTGAGAGGTTCTGAGGCTGGTTAAAAGGGCTTATTTTGTGTTTGAAATCTTGGTTAACCATTCTTTTCCTGGGTTAAAGTTCAATGAGATCACAGAATTGTCAGGTAGCCCAATTATCTGAATCTGTGTTACTTCATGGCAAAATTTAACGTTTAAGCACTCCTGCCTGTCCTAGGGAAACTGGAGTGAAAGTTTTGACCCTTTTCATCTCAGTGATCAGTCTCAAATCTCAGGCCCTTAACCCTCAACTCCTATGATCTAATCATTAATTCTCCCCTCCTGCTGCTACACATTTCCTTTTAAATTGGTTATGAGAATATGGTAGATCAAGGTAACAACTTCTACCTGATAAGTTTGAGTATTCTCATTACCTGTTTGCTGGATAGTGTGTGAGTTTTTTTAGGGAGAAGTTTTGTTTTAATAATTTCTGGGAATTAAGGGTTAATAAAATTCCCATATGACCAATGGCAAAGTGGATCTGAATACATGGCTTTTATGAACTATTTTTACAGGTCAAAATGTCTCTTTTCTTTTTATTTCTGTGGTTGGTGTTATTGCGAATTGTTATTTTATAATTTATTGGTAAAATGTATGGTTTTATAGTTTTCATCAGCGGTTATTCTGTCAACCAATCATAGACTAAAATGTGCGATTTCAATTGTCAGTGTTAGAGAACTATTACTAGTTTTTGCATGGTGTTATGATAAAGAAAAACCATTTCATTATACAATGAGTTAAGGATTGAAAAAGAACTTATCATTATTTGCAGGTCAAAATATCCGTAAGCTCGTCAAAGATGGTTTGATCATCAAAAAGCCACAGATCATCCACAGCCGTGCTCGTGTTCGAAAGGCAGATGAAGCCAGAAAGAAGGGTCGGCATAGCGGCTATGGTAAAAGAAAAGGTACAGCGAATGCACGTATGCCTGAAAAGACCATCTGGATGAGACGTATGCGAGTGCTCAGAAGGTTGCTTCGAAAATACAGAGAGGCAAAAAAGATCGACAACCACATGTACCATAATCTGTACATGAAGGCCAAGGGTAATGTGTTCAAAAACAAGAGAGTCTTGATGGAATACATACACAGGAAGAAGGCTGAGAAGCAACGTGCCAAACTCCTTAGGTGAGTTTTTTTGTTTTTGACTATGTGCTGTGGTGATATAAATTGTGACCCTCCATGGGAAAGCGGACACTAACACTTTTCCCTTTAAACTGCAAAACCGTTTACTATCTGTTTAAATCCATTTAAATGGTTCATGAATGCATTTGAATGGTTTGTTTATCCCTTAAAAAAAATTTGCATCCATTTGACGCTTTAGCTAAAATGTTCAAGTGGTTTGCTTATGGGTCTTGATATCAGCAGGCAAGTCAAGAATTTAAAGAAAGCGACAACACTTTTGAGTTGATATGTTTCGACAGAAATGTCTGTCATTTTCAGTTAATTACTGTACAAAGCGTTGAAAGTTGAATTATATAGTAAGTAAAACAATGCTAATTAAGATGAATAGTGACAACAAGAAAAGAGGTAAAGCATGAAAGTGTGAGAATTAAAAAGATAGTTTTAGATTTACATGGTGTAATTGCTGATTCAAAGATGGTTGTTCTCTTTGAATATGAATAGCCTCTTTTATCTTAAGCTGAAAGCTGGTGGAGGCATGATCTAAAACATGGAAATTATCTGTAGAACACAAAGCTCGACAATGTGGAGAATCTTTCAGATGCCTGAAAATGTGAGAGGCCCTGTCATTGACTAAGTGCTCTCTAACACGTGTGGAAAAATACCACTGATGTAACAGGCATTACAGCCAGCACATACAAACTTATAAACCACATGTGAATGGAGCCTGTCAGGGACAGAGTCTTTCACACCGAGCAAGTTACCGATTTTAAAGGAAGGGAAAACCAGTTTGATATCCAAGTCCAAGGACATTGATATCAAATCCTTATTCTCCTTTTATCATATAAATTGGCCTCTGAAGAGAGATTAGAAAGCTGGTATTGTAAACCTAAGCCCTTTACCAAAGTGAATAATGAAGGGCCAAGGCTGAAAACACCAGCTTTACAATCTCTCTCTGGAGGCCAATTCAGGTTAATTATCAATGCAGTTAATAATACCAAATTATCTTGTTAAAAAAACTGGTCATCCACTAGTTGACATTTTGGTTCTCCCACAAATAGCTTTCCTTCTTAAGATTGTTATGAGCTGGTCAATGAATCTTCAAAATAGTTTGATTCACATGGTTTCTTACTGTCAAATTTATTGCACACTATTAAGCCGGCCTGGCCTTGTTTATATCAAGGATGGGTGACTAAGTGTGCATAAAACAATGCAGGAGTTTGTTCTGACTGATCAGTGTGTGCTTACTGACTGAATCAGTCCTGGGCTCCTATGACATTTGTGTCTCTCGTGCTACCACATTTATTCTCCTTACGTTGCTTAATACACTATTGTGTAGTCAGGTACTGAGAATCAAGAAAAGTTTTAACTAGGTGATATAGTCTTGATGAAACACTGAATTCTTAGGAGTCGTTGATAAAGGAATGTGTGCTATTATTTAGGAGAATTCACTTAAAGATTTCAGGGGTGTTAAGTGCAAACTTTCTGTCTCCCTACAGTGACCAAGCTGAGGCTCGCCGCATGAAGAACAAGGCTGCGAAGCAAAGACGCGAGGAACGTTTGGAGCAAAAACGCAAGGATTTGATCCAGCAATTTGCAAAAGAGGAAGAGGCAGCAAAATAAATGTTAATAATCCTTCATTATGTTTGAATAAAACTTGTTTTGTGAGGGCAATGTTTGGTTTGATCTGTACCTTCTTCTTGATGAATTTAACACAACTTGAACTTAAAAAGCCACAAGAAAGAATCAGAGGGAAGTAAAAAAATAATTTTCTTGTCATTTTCCTTTGTATTTTTTAAACCGTTGGAGTGAACAGAGTCACAGTTCCTGATAAAGGTTTGGTATCCATTTTGTGGTGATAAATTCATTTTTGATGCTAAGTTAAAGCACTGGATGTTAAAAGATTTTGCAGACACTCAGTGACAGGTGCATTTGTTAGATAAGAATCCCTATGGTTTCCTGATGGTCCCTCAGGGTTCAGACATGAAATGTGTCTGCGAAAGAGTACTTAAAAATTCATCTTTACTTAATAATACTTTTTATTAAGTGTACTCTCTCCAAAAACATGTTGTACAGAAGTATTCAGCTCGCTTAAACTGAAGACATGTTACCATAACAGATGTTCAATCCACTTGGAACATAATGCTTGGCAAAAGATGTTCAGAGTCGTGCTGGGGGCATGAATATTTTAACACTACCAGCGTCATTATGATAACCCCAGAATTTTCACGGGTCACGAATTTTCATTGCATTTAGAGATCTGCTGAACAAGCAATTACAAATTTACAACCCTAGTACAAATAAATGAAGTCTAGCTTGTGAATGCCCCTAGTACTCCCAGTGAACTGAAAATTTGGCATCATCCAGTGAACTGTATGTTTAGGTTCACATAATGCTGTTTTTCAGAGTCTGGTCGGGATGCCTGGTGCATTTTATGCTTCCTAAACTTTTGGACCTCTAAAAGTGATTTGCAACCAATAACTCCTTACTATATCACCCTTGAATCACAACTAAAGTCACAATAATAGAGGAAAATAACCACCATATAGAAATACTATTGACTGTTAGACAGACCAAATCCTCCTAGACATGACCTAAGGAAATGTTTGTCAAATAGTATTAAGAATTTGCATACTGAAGGTTGGGTTTAATGGTTGACAAATTTTATGGATATGTGATATTTTGAAAGGATGACATTTGCTTGCCTAGTTCCATTACAATGACCACTCATGAAGGAGGGTGTAAGATCTAAGTGCTTTCTAATTGTAAACAGAATTTTGTGCTTCTCAGTATTTTCTTTCCTTTTCTCATAACTCCTTGTTAGTGTTCTTGTTTCAGTTTATGGTTGTTTCTTGTCAGTTACCCCTTCACTTTTGCACGATTCTTACCATACCCAGTTATGCAGTCCTCTTGTATTTAACTCTAGTTATTTTTAAGCATATTGACTTTTGTCAGCCAGTTTCTCTAGAGGTTGCACTAAGCCCAGTTTTCTCTTCTAGAAGTATTCTTTAACATGAAATTTGTTTGCTATCGCAGATTTTTTTTAAAGGTGTGATCAATTTTCTGTCTGTAAGCTCATCTATGTCAAGCTGAAGGTCAGCATTGTGAAGACAGCACTTTAACTGTTACAGAGAGAAACAGTTAAATTATCATCATTTGGATGTTGAACTACAGCCTATGTTATCCTAGAAAAGAACTTTTAAATGAACTTTCAAATATCTACTGTGTGGTAAAACAACCATCAACAGAAGTTTTGACAGGGCACATATTTCATATCAAAGTTATGTTTCTGTAACACATCTTCTCTGACTGTCAATTTCTTCCACTCATCAGATCCATCACAACAGTCACATATTCCATCATTGATACGAGAAGAGGGCAAGTAATGTTCTCCGCCAGCGCAGTAGAATCTGTAAAAGATAAAACCATCAACTTAGTGGAGCAAACAGAAAAGAGCTCACAGAAAACCATGGAAGTCAGAATGACAACCATGGACTTACATTTTCATGCTTCACTTAACCCTTTAACTCCCATGAGTGACCAAGACAGAATTTCTCCTTACAATATCCATACAATATCAACCAGATAAGTGATGAGAATAAAGAAAACTATCCTTGTGAGGATAATTAGTTGATCCAATACTAAATTCTCTAAACTAACATTGTAAGAATTGTGTGGTTGACAGTAAGGAGAATTACAAATTTGATCTGGGAGTTAAAGGGTTAAGAGACTGTCAGAGTAAAATGGATGGTGGATACACTGGGTTCCAGATCTTTGATTAGAGTTATCAGTGTTGTGTACTGTGAGTTTGGTTAAAAAAAGTTTACTTCCACAGTGTCTCTCCTCCCAAGAGTATAAATGGGTACCAGTGAACTGACAGGGATAATAGATGCAAAGCTGAGGAGGGCCAACTGTAATGAACTTACTCTCCATCCAAAGGCAGCCCCAACCTCATACCCAGGATCTGTCATCTTCTCTTCCTCTTTCTTGTTCAAAAGGAAGGAAAGAGGAGAGACCCTGATAATGAGGTTGTAGTACCGTCACATAAAATTACTTCTTGCTACATAAAACCCAAGGATATCCTTAGCTTGGACACTACTACTTTCTATCTAATCCTTTACAATCTAACATCAGTATGCATATTCTCCATAATGTTCTCTATAGATTTCCAATGATGCCAAAAGAGGAGAATTTGTTGAGCAGAACCATCACCTTCTTCAGTTTGTGATCATTTCCTTTATTCCCATGACCTTAATGTTTTATTCAAGAATGGTATTCAAATGAGAAATTAGATACTCCGGGATTGAAGGGGGGGGGGGGGGGAGAGGAAGGGAGGGGCATTGGGGTTTGCGGTATTGGACTTTTTTCTTGTAGTATTTTGCTAATTTTAATATTGTATAGTTTGTAGTATAGCAGTATTCTCTGGATGTGCAAGATACATTTCTTTAGCATTTTCTCCTTCAAGTCCCCCACCCTTTTCTGAGCCTTTTCCAGTTTCCAATTGTTTCACAAACAAGCTGAAATTGGCAATAACCCAACAAACTGTTCATCAAAAAAATCCCTACTTGTTCTTTCTGTGTTTTTTTTCTCAGTCTAAACATAACATATAGAGTAGTGATTTTGATGGAAGAAATTGAATTTCAGGTATTTATTGAAGTATTGTGGTATTTGCCAAATCTTTTGTAGTTGTATTGCATTCAGAACCACCACTGTCCACCTCTCGAAGAGTTGAAGACATCATTGACACTTTCACTATTTTTCCATCTCAGCTCGCGCAACAGACAGTGCTTTTTCCCCATTTTTCAGGAAAGCGGAGGCAATTGTAAGGGTAGAGTGTACGGTGAGCAGAAAGGGCATATCATTTCTACCTCTCCCCTTATGCCTAACTGCAAAAAAGGTGGCCTGTTCTGCAGCTACCTCTATCTGATCAATTTTGCTATAATTTAGCTTATCTCTGGCTTGGCGTGTTCACCTTGTATTTGGACATGCTCCTGTGCCTGGTTCATCACTACCATCTGGACAATCACAGTAATCATCGTTAACAGATGTCCAACTGATGCTCAGTTCTCCAGACAAACATGCAAAGAGGCCCATTAAGTTAGGCTTATAACTTGATAAATTTGAGGGTGCCACCCCAAGAATACCTAAAATAAAGAAAAACAACAACCATTCATTTTCTTTAAAAACTCTTTTGAGAGAAATATTAATCTCAAAACAAAAGGAGAGAGAAGGAATCAGAAATTACTGCTTCATACGGCTAACTACCCTAACAGAGAGGTAAAAGGTCTGTACATGATGTGTGTTTTCATGCCTCTACTGGAAACCAGCTTTTTATAATGTTGATAATAGGCTAGCCTGTTTAAATAAAGTTGATCTCAATCTTGATCTTGTTTAACCCTTTAACTCCCAACATCTGATTGTTAATTCTCTCCTCTTGCTGCAACACAATTCCTTGAAAATGAGTTATGAGAATTTGGTGTAAGATCAAGATAAAAACTTCTTCCCAATAAGTTTTAGTTTTCTCATTAACTGTTTGCTAGAAAACATATAGACATCAAAGGGAGAAGTTACATGTTGGTCACTTCTGGGAGTTAAAGAGTTACCAGGTAAGCCCATAATAAAAATGTCAGGAGGAGGGACTTGTTAATGAAGGGGTTGGGGATGCATGCTTATCATCTTTTCCAGTGTAAAAAAATCAAATATTCCACACCAGAGTTCAAAATTAAACACATGTCATAAAAGCTTTGTCATTCTATTTCACTGATAAAAGTCTCCTGAAAATTTGTCGTCCCTACAAGTATCAATCTGTCAGTTTCCTCGAAAGTGCTTTCTAAACTTTTTCCTTATCACAGGGAAGTTCCCAGAATAGGAAAAAAGATCAAAGATTTCCCAGGAATTCCTAAGGATCAAGGGGTCACAAGTCAAGAGAGTTCTCAAAACTGAATCATACACGCATTACGAGTGGCCCTTAATTATGGTCTATTGAAGGACAGATGCCTAAATGAGATCACCATTAACAATATTTTGCTTTGCTATCATATAAAAGAAATAGATTCCATGTTGCCAATTGCCTGAACAGTAACAGGTCACAGAAGACGTCAAAAGTGTCGTAAGCACATCAGCGACAAACTCTGCCTCACCTCGTGTACCACGTTTTTGTTCTTATCACATTTTTGACATCATCCGTAATGTGCTACCGAACAGATACAGAGCAACACAGAAACACAGCTTTTGGAATTCAAGGCTATTGCCCTGTTACGTTTGAACTCTTGTTCGTATTTTTGGAAATCACCTGCACTATTAAGTCACGCGATAGCCAGCTCCAACTTAAAGAAATTAGTTAATTAGAGTAACTAATTTGTTTCCACGAAAAGCAGTTGACTCTTAAAAAGGGGAATATATATAGTAACATAATTTATAAATATCTTAGTTAACGGCGTAAAATCTGTCAGTATATATATGTATATGTATATATTTATATATACATATTTATATACTGGGTCAGTAACTTAAAATCTCACAGTTTATGGACTGCGATAATCCCAAATTACGCCGTTATCAAGTTACCGCTTAAAAGGAATTCGAAAGTGACCAGAATATTAGACTGACATCACTGCGCTAAAAAAGCATACAATTCCATCTTCACCTTTCTTTCTGCAGTGGGCGGATGTTTGCAAGCCACTTTCCGGTGAGCAGTTTTGCTGGGTCATCTTCCCGCTCAGCTGATCATGACTTCCAAGCTTATTGTCTTTAGCATGTGTCACTCTTTCTTCGTGACTTTTTTCAACAAGAATTTTGTATGATCTCCAGTGTGTAAAAAGAAAAAGAGCTATTATAAGGCCGAAGCTGATAAAAATATAAGACTTCCTAGATCTCACAAATCTCATTTGACCAATATTTTAACTTGCATCCTGCTCACAGCTTCCACAAGTCAATTGTTCTATTGTCTCCGAAGGCATGGGAACTAGTGGAAAGGGAAACGTGTGACGTCAGTCTTCACTTGAGTGGTCACATGATCTGGAGCAAAACAATTCAAGATCGGTCGAGGAAAGATCCGGATAAGACAACCGTTTATTTTGCCGTTGGCGATTGAGAAGTCTATTTGCCTCCCTTGTTGTTCCTACCTCTTGATAGAATTCGTTATATTCTCTCAACAGCAGTTTCGTGTCAGTCTTAGGTTTAGTATTATTCAGCTCTCACGTATTCGCCTGGAAACGGCTAGACTGTTCTAAGTTGCAAGGTTGAACAGCATTCAAATTCAGCTTTGTTGTTTAAAACGGAAATGCGACCGAAGTAAAGGTTTTGCTCAGCAAGAATACATTTGAAGGGAATTTCTAGTCTTCGAAACTTGAGTTTCTTTTGAGAAAAATTAACAACAGATACTGTTTTCTCGTGTCAAATTCGCGTTCGTGCGCTTGAACTCGGTCGAGCTATAAGGCGTTGTAAAGTGGAATGTTTGACATCTAATTTTGAAATTTGACGCAGGAGATCGTGTAACCAGGAAAGGTAAGGAAGATTATTCGTCATAAGTTTTTTCCTTTGAGTTACCGATTAAATAGCTTTTCCTTTTCATGAAATTATTCTGCTGCGATAGGTAGACACTTTTCGAAACTTTGGCAGATATCTAGTAGAGGTTTAAATTGTTTGGGTTACACTGCCGTCGCTAACGGAAGATTCTGGAGAAAAAACGAGATGGAAAGATCTTTCGTAGTCTCTTAGTAATTTTATTTCTGTGTTTCGGCAGATCATCGGATGCTGGGGTAAAGTTAGTAGTAAGGCCTATCAATTGTATCCGCGAACATGAGAAATTATTTGATGTTATTCAGTATTATTACGGACCTATGAAAAGGAAAATTTACATGTGAAGCTAAATTCGTCTTTTTAACGCGTAATGGCTTACAAGATTGTGCCACTTTTGTCGTCGGCACCATATTTTTAGACTGTTGAGTGCTCTATAAGTGTATAAATTGAAGCTTGTGCCCTGAGATGGGGAGGAAAATCGCACGAATGTGCAATACGTGACAGATTTGATTCAATGAAGTAACGTTGATAATTGTGTTTTGTGTTTAGTTTGAACGGGGGATTTAATTAAATTCATGGCGAAAGACAGTGGTACTGATGTGGAAAGAAGCAAAGGAACTGTTATGAACGAGCCGTCTTCGAAACAAAATGGAAACGACGATCGGAGATTTTCACTCAGACGATTGTTTGGACGATCAAAGACGTACAAAGGCGAGAACACGACGGATAAATTCACTCGAAAAAACAGCACTGAGGCACTGGCTATTTGTCCAGTTTGTTATGCAATGAGAGCGAAATCTCTGTTCCCAGAAATCTCAACTTGTGAACATCGATCATGTTTTGAGTGCTTGCGGCAGTATATGACAATCGAAATAAATGAATCGCGAGTGAACTTAACATGTCCTGAGTGTTCAGAAAGATTTCATCCGAATGATATAAAACTGATTTTAAATGATGATGTCCTTATGGCCAAATATGACGAGTTTACTCTTCGAAGGACATTAGTTGCTGATCCTGATTGTCGTTGGTGTCCCGCTCCGGACTGCGGCTTTGCAGTCATAGCATCGGGATGTGCAAGCTGCCCGAAACTGCAGTGTGAAAGACCGGGATGTAACACTGAGTTCTGTTATCACTGCAAGCAAATATGGCATCCTAATTTGACTTGTGATGCAGCACGACTTCGGCGAGCTACTCACATCAAATCCATCTCTGGATCTGAAGGAAGAAGCTCAAATGGCTCAGATGACATGAAGCCATGTCCGAGATGTGGAGCTTTTATTATCAAGATGGATGATGGTTCATGTAATCATATGACTTGTGCAGTGTGTGGAGCAGAGTTTTGTTGGTTATGTATGAAGGAAATATCAGATCTTCATTACTTGAGGTATTTCATTTTCATTTTATTTTTAGAATTTGATTCATGTACCTTAATGGTACCACTGCGGACTCTATTTTACTGTAGCTTTGTTTCTCCTGCAACAGACCTTCCCTAGCCAGTTACCTTGGGATTTTCCCATTTTCTATGCAGTAATCTAAGGTTATCTTCTAATGAGGCACTGTAAAGTAATCCTGTTGTACTGGAAGTTGTTTAGAAAGATGTGTAAAGGTAGTGATGTAAAAATACCTTCACAAGCTTTGGCATTTGTGAAAATCAAACTTGAACGTCATATTCTTATAATTATATGCGTGGGAGATGTGGAGTTTAATTTAGCACTGCGGGGTGGAGGTCAAGAAGTTCAGGCGCAAGCCTGGGCTGAACCGCAGCGTAATTCTGCCCTGGAGTATTTCGTACTTATTGACTGGGTGGGTGGGCCGGATGAAAAAATATTGGCCCCAGTTTATGATGTATGGACCAAGTGCATTGCAGGCCATGCATCATGACCAAGAGCCAAATATTTTTCTGCTCAGCTCAACCAATCTAAGTCAACAAGCACTAAGGGCTGTAAATTTTGTTTCAACCTGAATAGGACATACTTGCATACAAACAAAGTTTGCATGCTTGACAACTTCTGAAAAGATTCAAGTGGTAGAATCTTTGGAATCACTCCCAACCAAAAACAGTAAAAAGTTTTCCTTTTTTTATGAGGTGACATCCACAATTTCAGTCCATGTTGTCACAAAACACAAGAGGGGAATTGGACTCCACTCTTTCCTATACAATATAAAACTGCTGTAAAGTGGAAGTCTGACTTATAAATCACATGTATGGTCATAGGCAGAATTGGATGACGCAAAAAAATCTAATCAATTTAGATTTACGAAACTGTCAAATGACAAGAAACAAACTAGCCATTGGTTATACCTTTCCATGTAAAACAACAGTTAACTCTGCAAAATGCATGGAAAGATCTTGCGCATGATGCACACTGTCCATTTACGCAGGTTTGATGCATATACTGTCTTCATACACTGCCCAATTACAAGCAAGACACTTGCCTTGTCCTTTTAGTGTTAAAATAGGGTTGGTATTAACCAATCACATTCAATAATTTTGTTTTGATTGTGATCAAATCTAGTATGAATTATTTGGAAAAAATCTTGTTTTCTCACTCTAGTCCTTCTGGTTGTACCTTTTGGGGTAAAAAGCCTTGGAGTCGCAAGAAGAAAATCCTCTGGCAAATGGGAACACTCATAGGTGCACCTCTTGGAATAGCTCTTGCTGCAGGGGTGGTTCTTCCTGCCATGGTAATTGGTATTCCCGTGTATGTTGGCCGACAGGTAAGAGCCTTCTATTGGCTGTCAGAGTCACTGTAAGGGATTTGTCTTTCACTGTTAAGTTCTGTGTACATATATACACAATCCACCTCATTTTAACAGAAATACCTCTGATCATGAGAAAGCAAGGGGAATGATTATCACTAAGTTGGTTCTCTTATTTGAGGAGGAATGTTTTGTGTTAGGTTGATGAAAAATAATCTGAGTTAAAACTTATTCCTTGACAAGGCAGGAAAATGCCAGAAGAAGGAATGAAGAGAAATTTGCACACCATATTTGTTCAAAAGAGCCTTTTGGCACCTATGAAAGTTTTTTCTTGGCTTTAAGGCACTGTTTTGAATTATCTTATTACAAAAAGCTATAAAGAAATCTTTTGGTTTCTTTGTCCTGTACTGCAGCTCAGATTAAGGGGAAATATTGCTATCTTCCAGGTAAATTGCTCAACCAGAAGCAGTTGGTTTTTATGTGATGCAAGTGTAAACTTCTTAAATTTTTACTTCTCAGGATTCTTTAAGTTGGCCTAAATGACACGTGCATTCTACCTTTTAACTCTTAGAAGTGATTTATATCTAACTTATTCTTTTAATGTCGATATAAACAGACAGGTTTTGAGAGTACTCAAACTTATCAGGTAGAGCTTGCTATCTCGACCTAACACCAAATTCTCATTAGGAAATGTGTAGCAATCATAAGGGAGAATTAACAATCAGATCTTGGGAGTTTAAGGGTTACATTGTTTTATACAGGTGCATGACAAGTATGACAAGCCATATCAGTCAAGAAGGAAGCGGAACTTTGCCATCACTGGGGCAGTCACCCTTTCTGTCCTTGCATCCCCCATCCTAGCTGCACTTACTGTGGGTGTTGGGGTACCAATTGCTCTTGGGTATATCTATGGTGTAGTGCCAGTTTCTCTGTGCCGCAGTGGAGGCTGTGCAACAGTAACAAATATTCGCAATGGCAAGGGAGTGAACCTTGATTTTGACGAAGATGGAGACCCTGGGCCAGCCAGTGTCGCTGGGGTGTTTGGTACATCACAATCTAGCAGCAGAAGCAGCATGAGAGTTGGGGAAAAGGGGTCTTCAACAGGGGTGGTGACAGTTGTGGCCACTGTCAACAACACAGGAACAGGTAATCAAATGCTAATTGTCTTATTACAATGCTTGACAAATTTATATTAGCACAATATAAAGTGATCTACAGAGTGACTTTGTCTTGAAGCAAATGAGGATACTATAACCTTTCATTCCTAACCAATATCCAAATACTAATTTTACTCAGCATCTGTCAAACTTACACTACAACCATAGCCCTGAGAATTTGATGTAAACTCGAACAAAATCTCTCAGTTGATGTTTTTGTTCTTCTCATTACCCCTCTGCTTGAAAATGTATTGAAACTGTGAGGAGAAATTACTTTCTGGTCACTTAGGAGAAGGATAGGGTTAAGTCTCACTTTAGAGCCCTGTTAAAATGAATTGGCAAAGTGAATTTAAAAAAATAGCAAGATACTAAGGGGGTTAAGTCATGTGAGAGTTAATTGAAGAATTTTAAGATGTCTTTCAAGGGAATGCAACCCTTTAACTCCCAAAAGTGATCAAATGTAACTTCTCCCTGTATCAGTTGAACATTATCCAGCAAACAAGTCATGAGAATACTCAAACTTGTCAGATAGAAGTTGTTATCTTGATCTAACACCAAATTCTCATAACTTATTTACAAGGAAATATGTCACATCTAGAGGGGAGAATTAACAATCAGATCTTGTGGTTCAGAATTAGGGTTAGGGTTACAATTATTCCAATTGTGGGAGCAGTGTGCTTTTACCACTGTACTATGCTGACTTAGTATCATCCCCCTTAGACACAGAAAGCGGCAAGCAACCCAGTATCAGCATGAGTCAGGACTGTTCCAGCTTAGATAGTGGTACAATTGGCCCAAGAGGTGTTGGTGACGGTGACAGCCATGCATCCCTCATCCCTGGCCCTAGAAGCTGCACTGTGAGCATAGCCAGCAGCTTTGACAATTTTAACATCAATTCTTGTGATGGAATAGGAACATCTTCATCTATTGCAGAGGCTATGGTAATGGAAACTGATGTTGTAGATAGAACATCTGTAACTAACATCTCTCACCAAGGAAGCACAGTGGATAAGGACAGTTTATCGGTCCTGGAAAGTGTTGGTAGCAATGAAGATGATTAATTTCTTGTACCATGTGAGTTTAGGAAATAGTTTTTAATGTCTAATTTATTTTTTGTCTATTAATTACTTAACTTGTAAAAATATTCACCAAGCTCAGTAGGATTCTTGTAGAAAGATAAATCAGAAATCAAAATGTTAATATTTTTTCATAATTAATTTTAAGCATTTCTATGGTTTTTTTTTTGCTCTCCTTGTAAATCTCACAAAGTGAAATCCTTAGATTTTTTTTAAAGTATTGTAGAAGTGATAAGAGACCTTAAACAAACTAATGTGGTGATGGCAATGAGGACATGGCAAAACAAAAGATCTTATGGAAAGAAGGATAGCTCATCTTGTGGGTATAAGAACTTTGTACTTTTCTTAGCCATCCTCTGCAAAAAAAAAAAAAAAAAAAAAACAATGTGAAATCACTTAAATTTGCATGGCTTGAGAACAGAAACCCAGACTGCAAATTAATTAAGTTTCCATTTGGAACCAAACACTGCTGCCAGTGTTATGCTGCAGTTCAGTTATGTTGCCACAAGAGATGGTAAACACATCCAGCCATTTGCAGCTAACAGTAATAGTACCAACTTGCAGCTATTTGCAAAATTTGCAGCTATTTGCAAAATTCTAACTAAAAATAGAGATTCATGTGTTAATAATAATCTTCCTCAGTGTTTTTGTCTTAAATGCTTAAAAAGGTCCCTAATATTACCACTTTGCTAGACATGCTAGTTAAAAAAAATAAGTATAAGTGGTTTTTGTTGGGCTGATTAAAGTTTTTTCAGGAAATTGAAACCTTTGCAGAAAGTTAAAGGACATGTTTTACTGCAAAATCACAATGACAGTGATGAGCTGTTCAATTTCCATACTAGTTTTTTTAATTATTAGCAACTTTGTGTATAGTTTCCTTTTGCCCTTTCATAGTCTTTTCTTTTCTTTCCTAGGAGAGCTTATTTTTAATTTTCCTGCATTGTACATAGTATTTTGTTCACCCTGTACAAAATTCATTAATGTTTCAAGTGTTTTTTTTTTCTTTTTTTTTTTAATTAAGAGCACTGAATTTCATTAATTTCTACAAAGAATTTACTTTCTGACTTAAGGTCTGTTGTTATTCTTGAGTTTACTGATGGAATCAGAAGTTTCAATTTTTGGTACTATGACAATCTTGAGTTTACCAATGGAATCAGAAGTTTTAAATTTAGATACTATTGCAATTTTCTTAACTCTGTGACCCAAATGAGTGACTAGGATCTAATTTCTCCAAACAATATCACCCCTGAATCGCACATTAAGGTCATGAGAATAAAGAAAAAGATCACCAACAAAAAAAGTCCTTTACTGTTAAATAAATTCTCCTTGTCAGTACCCTAGGAAATCTGTAGAGAACAGTATGGAGAATATGCATTCTGATGTGAGGGTGTAAAAGGTTTAGGTTTTTAATTGTCCAGGGGTAGATCTAAAGCAGATGCAGATGTAGTATCTTTTATGTTTTTGGCAACCAGTAAGTATCCTGATCACCACAAGCAGATTAGGGTCCTGATGGATTCTATAATTACTATAGAGAGTGTAGCATGGTTTGCATTGAAGTTACAGTGATCACAACAACATTATTCCATATGTTTGTAGAGGAAATAGAGTGAAAACAAGCAGGCAAGTTTATAATTTCACTTTAACTTTTTCATTGGTTGGGTTACTTGGCCTGAAGCGGTCAAACAATATGGATAAATTAGATAGGGTAGGGAATGGTGAGATCTTAGACTAACGCAATGCTAAGATTCTTCTTTAAAAATCATACACCAAGACTAAACATATGTAGCTTTTGATCTTGTTATGTGTGTTGTTTACTACAATGAGCAGAATGCATTATTATTGACCAGAAAATGTTGCGTTAGAATTGTAATACTCTTGTTTGTGTTGCCTCTGGGAGATATCAGTTGAGCTATGAGCAATCCGTCCTTTTCAGTAAAGTCCATCATGTCCAAAAAAATCATTAAAGAAATCTGATGTTAGTGCACCATATGAAGGACTCCACTGAAAGGCAGGAACTGCCTGTAGTTCAGGTATCAGCCACTTTATTGCAGTATGTTCAAATGACAAGACTCAAGACTGAGAAAAGACTAAGAAGTCTTGATTTGACAAAAAGTTTGCAAGACCTATAGGTTTTTGAGGTACCATTCTATAATTAACTATAAGGGATGACCTTAATTTATGTAACTACTAGTATTTATTGATATTCCAGACTTTCATTATACTGAGATGTATGTAAATATGACACACTTGCTTGTAAATACATTTACTGTAAGTAATGCTAATCACAATTTTAAGTTAAATAAAACCAATTTTTTCGTATCAGGTGTGACAAAAGCTTTTTTATGCTTTGAATTATAGATTTACAAGTTCACATATATTTTTTTTTCTCTTGGGAATGGCGTACAATACAGGAAAAAAGTTTGAAAATAGTCAGAAAATGAAATTTGTGTTTATAAAATGGATTCCACGTGGCTATGAGTCTAGACTAAAAGATTACAGGAGATTTTCAAATGTGGTAAGAGCATTAGTGATAGTCTGCTGTTCCTTGTGTGTGACTTTTTTTGGTCTTACCACATTTTGATGTTATCTGCAATCTTATCACTGAACAAATGCATGGCAACATGTACATGAAAGCAGTTTGTTAATTAGATGGCTGTCTGTTAACTTAGATTTTTATCAATCAGAGGAGGACACACCAGAAATTTATCTGTGCTCATGGACTATCTGATACTGCATCTCCGTTAGAAAATGTCATACCTGCTATTAAATGCCTACCTAGCTAAATGAAACACTCCTGCCATTGAGAAGGAAAACAATTGGTATCAGAACGAGTAATTTATCAGCTGTGCCCTCGTCACGAAAGTGAGGCCAGATCAAACTAACTCGCACGTGGTCCTGGGTATAGCTTGATCTGGGACAATTCATTTACGCTTACACCAAACGCTAGTGAATTTTTGATAAACACAGGTGAATTTTTGGTTGTAAATCACTGAGATTGTTAATCGAAAGCGTTTCGTCTTTTCGAGGGAAAGAATTTCCAACGATGTCAAATAGGAAGCGAAAGCAGAGGCCACCTGAGAGGTTCAGTGAAGACAAGCGAGCAGAATTGACCTGGAACATGCTTGATTTCCATTTGCCGGCTTCAGGCTCCACTTACCAGACCACGATGAATTTTATTGATTCCTCTTCAGTCAATGATGAAACTAACACTCCAACAGCTTCGAGTCCTCGGAAGAAGAAGAGACAAAAGGCATTTGATCGTAACAGAAGCATCGAGCTCAATCTGGAAAACTCTTACCCGCAAACCTGTGTATGTCAGTTAGGTTTGTTTAACATCAATTTGTGCACGAGTGAAACGCAACGTGATGAATTGAAATCACAGAATGGAACTGGTATCTCTGATGACTTGTGGACTGTGGATTGTTATCACTGCGTCGTGATAAAACTTTCCTTTGAGCCACAGCATTCAATAACAGATGACAAGAACTTGTTTGAGTTAAATAATGGCAGCTTGAGACATGCCTCTTTTAAAGCAACAGTTCCTTCCGTTTCCACACATCAACTCGAAGCATTAGTTTACCTGCAAAACAAAGGTGTGATTTCCCTAGTGCTGAAACCAGAGCAACATATTTTAAAAGAAAGCTGGGAAGTTGTTGTGTGTTTGAAGGAGGATGGCTTAACCGAGATGTCTTCTGCATGCGCTGATGTCAAAAATAGGAAAATAGACCAGTTGATGAAAGTGTTAATAGAATGGTTTTATAACATATCTGCAAGAGGTGATGACTCTGTTTTGCTGGACTGCAATAATGCAGGAGTAGACAAAGGTTTTGATGAACTTTACAATGCTATCAAGGTAGTTCGCGAAAGCAATTGCTTGTCCACGTCTGTACCAAGGTCTTCTCTCTCAAACACACCCCTTTGCCATGTACTTGATACAGACAAAGATAACAATTGTAGTCTTAATGCAGAAATCAACAGATGTAATGGAGCAAATGATTTTGATGTACAGCATCCTCATCTCAGACCTGTACTAAGAGGTTATCAAAGAAGAGCTGTTGAATGGATGTTACAGAGAGAACTTGCTCATCAAGTGACATCTGGATGTCAAAGGAAAGAAATTGATGGTAAGTAGAATATTGCCTTAGCCCTTTCACTCCCAAGATCTTATTGGTAATTCTCCTTACTGTCTACCATACAATTCATATGATGTTAGTTCAGAGAATTTGGTATTAGATCAACTAATAATCCCATAATTAATATTTTTCTTTATTCTCATCACCTGCCTGCTTGATATTGTATTGATATGGTAAGGAGAAATTCTGTCTTGATCACTTGTGGGAGTGAAAGGTTTAAAGAGTCTTTGTTTTTCTAAATACATGTTTATTACTCAGAACTATGGAATTCTTTGGTCACTTTTGGTGCTAGTTGGTATGAAATGAATAAGTAACAGAGCAAGTCTGTACCAGAGCTAAGTGGCCCATCCAGCCAGTGCTTTTTCTGGTTTTTAACCCTTTAACTCCCAGATCAAAAGGTTATCCCTCCCAGCATTTCATTCCCTGACAGTTTACCAGTTTCCATTTATACTCCTGGGTGGAGAGAGAGACACACTGACCCAGCCAGGTCCTTAAGCTGGATCTCTGATCACTCATTCACCACATCTCCCACAAAATTTGATACACTTTAGAGTTAAAAAGTAAAAAAAAAAAATCATGAATTTGTTTCTTTTTCATATACTTGCAGCTCATAGTCTTCACCCATTATGGCAGAAAATTCACAGTTTGGATGGAAAGATGATTTACTACAGTCCTTATACTGGAAGGTACATGAATGGCAGTTATGATAAATGAACATAAAGTGGGCTATGTGACCCATTTTTTTCACCCCAATACCTTAAACTTATCATCTGTAAGCTAGAAAGCAAATGAGAAAGAGAGGGGAGGGGAGGGTGAGAAGGTTGGACATCATAGAGTTATATGTCATGTCCCCCCTCCCCTTGAGCTGAAAGCTGATGAGAGGGAGAGGGGAGGGGAGAGTGAGAAGGTTGCACATCATAGTGAACTATATGTAATGCCCCCTCCCCTCTTCCCCCTCCCTCCTAAGATCAATACCCCTACCCTTCTTTATTTCCTATCTCTGCCCTTCCCCCACCTTCTTAGGCCAGGGAATGTTTCTTTACACAACATGATGTCCTAGGCTGGCAATGAACATATTGTGTATTTAAAAATCATTTTGTTTAAGCATCAAAGAGCTGCACTTTCTACAGTTTAACCCTTTCACTTGAAAATCTGGATGAAAATTCTCCTCACTGTCTGCTATACATTTCATAAAAAGTTTGTTCTGAGAATTTGTTGTTGGATCAAATGATAATCTTGTAGTTATTTTTTCTTTTCTTGCTATTCTCTTGATATTGTATTGCATTTGTAAGGAGAAACTATGTCTTGGTCACTCGTTGGAGTCAAAGGTTTAATTAGTGATTTGTAGATGTTTCATCTTGAGCAATTTCTTTATATCAATTAATTTAGACTTACAAATGAAAGATTCTGCCAGCCATCCCTGCCTCTTGGAGGAATTTTAGCTGATGAAATGGGTCTTGGAAAGACAGTGGAGGTGATTGCATGTATTTTGTGTCATTCAAAGCCTTCATCAGAGGTCAAGTCAATTGATTACACATTAACAGCTTCTGAACCACACACAGACACATCGAGTACATGTAACAGCATGATACAAGAAGGCTCTAAATCAAAACTTGCGGAGTGTGAAAATAATGACTGTGATGAAGCTGTTACAGGCCATAGCTCAAACAAGGAGCCAACTTTGTGTGAGAATTCACCACCTTTATGCAATGGTGATATTGCCAGAGAAATGAAGGGAACCACAGAAAAAGGTGACAGTTCAAGTTATGACTCAGGTCACAGCACAACATCATCTAATGAAGATTCAAATGAGCTTGCTCTTGGTACAGATGGACAAAAAATGGCTAAGACAAATTCAGATATTTATACATCAGATGAAGAAAGTGCCACACAGTTTATGAAATGCCAGTGTATCTGTGGTGTAAATTTGGCTAGTGTTGATGACAAATTGCTGCAGTGTTGTGAATGCCAAGCAGTGTTTCATGCTACATGCCTTGGTTATGATTTTCCTGGTGGCTTTTTATGCCCTCATTGTTCCGTAAGTAGACCAGCCACTCCATCCAGAGCAACACTGATCATTTCTCCTGCTCCAATTGCCCAACAATGGGTGGAGGAAATCTCCAAGCATACACAACCATCCACAGTTAAATTGCTGGTAAGAAAGTTTGCAGTCTTTTCAGGATGGTTTTCTTTTTTTTTACCATTTAACCCCTAAGAGAAACTTATATGTGATAAGTTTGAGTATTAATTTTCATTGCCTGTTTGCTGGATAATTTATGGATCTTATCAGGAGAAGTTACACGTTTCTGGAAGTTAAAGGGTTGAAATTCATTGAGGTATCTGATGAGTCTCTCAACCAAGACAAAATGTTCATGAACAGTGGGCCTTATTCTCACTACAGCATAAATAGTGTTCATTACTGCAAAGATCGCTTTCATGTCTCAAACCACGGTTCACATGTATGATTTTCATGTTTTCACTGTCATAGATTCATCACTTCACAAATTTATTACAAACCAACATAATGACCAGCTCCCAGTTGGCTTGTTAGCTCAGTTGGTAGAGTAATGCATCTGTATCAAAGAGGTCATGGGTTCAAATCCTGTACAGGCCTGAATTTTTTAAGTAGTGTTCATAACTGCAAAGCTCGCTTCATATTCATGAAATGTTTAGTTATACCAGCTCAGGCACAAACTATATTTCACAGATCTTCCTTAACTTAGCAGTCATGACATATGATAAGGAGCAGGAAAAGGTATCAACTGTGTTTCTGGACATGGGGGTCTTTTTTAGGGCTGTGTTAGTGGTCTAGACTAACCATTCTTTTTGGCATTAGGCCATATTTCTACACACAGGTCTTTTCTCATCTCCCCCACTCCCCAACCCCAACCCTTACCCCAACTGCCCCCTGCCTCTTTCCACTGCGGCTTATGTATCATTAGTTACCTTCCTTCAGTTATAGATGCATAGGTAAGCACATTTGTAATCAAAGTTTGAAAGACTGGTCTACCTAGACTCCTAATACCTACCTGCAGGCAGGGTTGATAAAAAAATCAAACTTGAGATACAATTAATAAAGATGGTTGTTTTTGCATTTTCTCAGGTTTATGAAGGTGTGGCCAAGATGGGTTTTATTCCCCCTCAAGTCCTTGCAGATCATGATGTAATCTTAACAACATATTCAACTCTGAGATCAGATTTTTATCACTTAGGATCTAAGCAAGGTCAGTGAAAAACAAGCTGTAGATTTCAAAAAATTGTAAATGAACTTTCTTGGTTTGGTCACAACTTTTTTTTCAAGTTTACCTTTAAGTTTTCATTTTTCAGGAACTGGTGGGCGGTCTATGCGATTTGAGAAGCGGTATGTGGCATTACCAAGCCCTCTCACGGCTGTCATGTTTTGGCGGATTTGTCTTGATGAAGCTCAAATGGTGGAGAGCACAACAGCTAAGGTTTGGTGTTAACTCCTCACTCCTAAGATCTCTTTAGTAATTCTCCTTACTGTCTGCCATACATTATTCTTATGATGATGGTTCAGAATTTGGTTTTGGATCAACTGATAATGCATTGATCAATACAAACTTGCCTTGCACACTTGATCATACATCCGCACACAAGCTCTCTTGGTCACATAAACCAAGTTCCTGCATTGCAGATATCATGCAAACACTACTGACAGTTCCCTTGTGGACAATTCCTATGATCTCATTTTTTTTTAAAACCATACATCTTTAATTTTTTTTTCAGTGTCTTAAAAATTCTTTATTTCCTAGAAAAAAAAACTTAGGAGTATATTGTGACAGCTCCTTTAAACCTTTTTGCAGAAAGTGCAATGTGTTGTTTTTGACAAAGTTGAATTATTCATTTTGTAGGCAGCTGAAGTGGCTTTATGTTTACACAGTGTACACAAGTGGTGTGTCACAGGGACACCAATACAGAAAGGACTTGAAGGTGATGCTGGGTTGTGTGTATGTCTTTAACCCTTTACACCCTAACATCAGTAGGCATATTCTCCATACTGTTCTCTATATATTTCCTTAGGCACTGGCAAGGAGAATTTGTTCAACCATCAAGGGCTTCTTTAGTTGGTGATCATTCCCTTTATTCTTAGGACCTTTCTGTTTGATTCAGGGGTTATATTGTGAGGAGAAGTTAGAAGCTAATCAAAGGGTTAATGATCAGCAATTAGTGGGGGAAAGTTGGCTTAGGGTTAAAATATTTTAGACTAAATTGATTGGCCTGGCCAGAATAATGTTTTTTGTTCTTCACAGAGTGCTTCTCTCCAGTTAGGAGTATAAAAGGGTTCCAGTGAATTGGAAAGCCTGATGAAATGCAGGGGGGTAACCTTGCAATGGACTGGCATCCCATCTAGGGGGGAGAAGTGATAATCTTAGTTGCTTCATGTTAAGGAAACGGCGATAAGCTCAGGCTGGGTGGACCACCTGGGTTGAGTAAAAACTTTGTCTTACTTGTGTTAAACATACAGCTCTACTTGGGCTTTAGAGTTTTGAGTGAAAATGAAGAAGCCAGAATTTTAAACCCAGGCTTCCTACAGAGTAAATAAAGGGGTAAGTTTCTAAAGAAATCATTGGTAGGAGAGTCTAACAGAGTAATTTAGTATTATCAACTGAGTTGATAGAGTAATTTGGCTACGGTAAAGAGTTTCAAAGCTGATGTTTTGAGGATAAGTCCTTTGTCAATGAGAATGGCAAAGGGCTAACACTTGAGACATCAGCTTTGAAACTCTTTACAGTGGCCAGTTTATGTTTTAAACTCAACTCAGTTGATAATACTAAATTACCTACCTACAGAGTGCCAGTCAGTAATGAAAGATGTGCTCTCATTCTGTTTAGATATTTATGGTCTGCTGTTGTTTCTTGGGGTGGATCCTTACTGTCATCAAAAATGGTGGAAGAGCTTACTGTTTGAGCCTTACAGGAACGGAAATAAACAACCTTTGTATGAGCTTTTAGCCAAAATCTTGTGGCGAAGTGTAAAGAAGGATGTCATCCATGAGGTACTGTTTAGTAAAGTTTTTGTGTCATCTTGAAAAAGGGCATATTTACTAGTTACTGGTGGAAGGGGGGGGAGGGTGCAAAGCAGAGTATAAAACTGCACCTTATAGAGGTGCTAATGCAATTAAATTCTTCACTTTTTCACCAAATCCTGAAATGAGTCCCCAAATTGACAACTGGGTTACTTTATTACCTAGGGATACCAGTATATAGTGAAGATTACGGTTTGTAAAGATAAATCTGAGGCAAACTTCCTCAATAAGTTTTCAAAAAAGCAGCACATGCATGAAGTCTACCACCAAATGCCATCTTGTTTCGTGAACAAAGTTTGGAGTGACTCTAAACTTTGTTCATGATTTTTTATTAAATAAACCAAGAGATATTTTTAAGATGAGCACACTTTATCTTTAAGTTAAGTCACTGTAGTAACATACAATCCTGTTGTTAGAATAATTTTGGTTTCAGACAGGTTGTAGATGAAATACCTACAGGTGTGTTGGGGGTGGGGTGGAAGGTCCAGTCCCTTTGTACTCTTACCCTGGATCTACCCCTGCTGAAGTCTAGAGGCTCACACCACACTGTTTACACCTTTTTTCATAGATTCAACTACCAGAGCAGGATGAGAAAGTAAAATGGCTGACATTTTCCCCTGTAGAGCAACATTTCTATCATCGTCAGCATGAAGAATGTGCAAACACTGCAATGAAGGTTTTTATTTTACAACATTTTTGTCTACAACTCTTTCCCTTAGTAATAGTGTAGCCCCTTCTTTCAGCAAGATAAAAAAATCAGTAAAGATTTTGTTGGAGAAGAATGCTCCTGAAACTATATAATAGTTGTTTTCGTAATATTATCATTTTCACTACTGCTTAATTAGTGTTCATTATTGTAAAGATTGCTCTGATATCCATCTCTTAATCTGCAGTTCACATATATTATTTTCATATATTCACAATCATAGATTCATCACTTTACAGGTTTATTGCAAACCAACATTACAACAAAAAGCTTTTGATGTTTTATTAACCTTTTAACTGCCATGATTGACCAAAACAGACTTTCTTCTTACTTTATCTATACAATATCATGCAGGCAAGAGATGAGAATAAAGAAAAATATCAATTATGGGATTACTAATTGATCCAATACCAAATTCTCCAAACTAACATAATGAGAATCATTTGGTAGACTGTAAGGGGAATTACTAATGAGATCTTGGGAGTTTAACAGAAAATGTAAAAATAACAAATACAAGAAAATATTTGTGTAATAATAAGAAGATGTTGAACTTGAACAGTGTTTTTACCGAAATATAATAGAGGTGCTTATGGTATCAGAGTGGTTGTATAGGCCATTTTACAGTGGTGTACTTAGCTGCCAAGCCTTTGATTTAGAGTGAGGCTGTAGGTGACCTTGTTGTGATGGAGACCAGTATCTAGTTAGCATGATAACAAAGTAATTTACATTTGAAAAGCAGCAAGGTTTGTATCATAAAAAGGTCATCCTTAGCCTCACTCCTGTTGAAAGGCTTGGCAACCTAACGCACAACTGTAAAATAGACTATTATGCAGTACAAGCACTTTTTTAGAATAGTGGGGCTCTTAATGTTAACAAAAAAAAGTGTAGGGAGGTGCTTATTGGAACGAGGGTACTAAATTGAATCATTACACCAACCAGCTTTCATTTACACTCCTTTTGGGAATGGATTACTACTGATTTCTTTGTCCTCTTTATCTCCAGATGCTGAGTCACTGGGAGAAAAGAGATACAATGCTAAGTGCTATTGACAGAAACACCGTGCATCTGGTACATACACTAAAAACTGTGTGAAGGGTAGTATGTAAGGTGGCCATTGCAAGGGTTCGAAGCATGTGAATAAAAAAAGAAGGACTTTTGGTACCAACTGGGCAAGCTCCATAAAAGGTCATTGCAGCTTTAAGCTGCAACACCATGCCCATTATTTTGAGATTCTGAAGAAATATATGAGGTTTTTTGCGAAGTTTTGGCAACTCATTGCATTACTTCACCTAAATAAGAGCAGTGAATAAAAGGGGATAAGTTTCTAAAGAAACTGTGGTGCTGCATCAGTGGGAGAGTATAGCAGGGTAATTTAGTATTATCAACTGAGTTGGTAATATAAATTGGCCACTGTAAAGAGTTTTACAGCTGTTGTTTCAAGCACTAGCCATTCGTGAGAGTGAATGGAGCTCTAGAGAAGAACAGGCTGAAGACAAGGGAGAAATTTTCTATTATTTTAGCACGACGTCTCTCACTATTTCAGTTCTTATAGCAGAGCTTGCCGAGCATAGCCCCATAATTTTACAAAATAGTAGTAACCCATCAAGCCGAAAAAATTTGGATATAAGACTGTACGACCGCATGACTGTATGACCATATGACTGTATGACCATACAAGGTGCTACTTTTAACATGCATGGTCAACTGTGCCACAGGCATGCCAACGCCACAGCTTTGTACAGTAGTTCAGTGGTCAGTGCACTGGGCTCCAAGCCAGACAACCTAGGTTCTTGTCCTGGCCAGGGCAAGGTGTTGTGCCCTTGAGACATGCATGGGAAAAAAGTGTGAGCTCTGCTCTTTTGCTTGGCTAAATCTATATATTATTCTAGACACTGTTAGCAAATGGTTCACATTTTAGCAGTGCTGTTGGCTTTTTTTTAATTCCACCAATTACAACCTGTTTTGTTTTGTTACAGTTGTTGAACCCTTTGTTGCGGCTGCGGCAAGCATGTTGTCATCCACAAGCAGTGAGAGGAGGCTTCCTGTCCATGCAAAAGAGGTAAATTTTAAAGCATCTCTGTATGTTGTTGCAAAACTGAATCACCTATAAATAACACTATATGATATCCCTTATCTAATAATATCCTAATAATACCTAATAACATCCTAACATCCTAATAACACCCTAACAACATTCTAATAAATCTTAATAACATCTTAATAACTTTCTAATAACTTCCTAATAACATTCATATTAATGCTTAACAAGAAGGTAATATTATTTGTTTAGGATTTTTATTTTGATTATTTTGTAGCACTCTTACCATGGATAAACTGCTTGAAAGTTTGATATCCAAAGCAAAGTTGGAATGTGAAGAAGCACATCGACAGCTCTTGTTTGCTTTTAATGGTTTGTACATGATATCTTTAGGGAGGCGCGGTGGCCTCATGGTTAGTGTGCTCAACCCCAGATTGGATGTTCCTGGTTCGAGCCCTGGCTGGGGTCAAGACGCTTTACTCTCACAGTGCTTCTCTTCACCCAGGTGTACAAATGGGTACCAGCGAATGTGCTGGGGGTAACCCTGCGATGGACTAGCATCCCATCCAGGGGGGAGTAACAATACTCCTAGCCACTTCATGCTAAGAAAACTGGAGTTAAGCACTGGCCCCATGGGCCACTTGTGCCTGTATAAAGGCTAACTTACATGATATCTTGGATTTTCACAAAAGCATGTTTTTACTCTCTGCTGCTTATATTACATCATGTTTGTATGTGTCTGAGTTAATATAACATTGAAATAAATTACTTTTGCTCTCCAGGTCTTGCTGGCATTCACATTTTAAAAGAAGAGGTTAGTTTATTCAATATTTTTGCAAAGCTATAACAGAAGTGAAAACATTTACTTAACCCTTTAACTCCCAAGATCTCATTAGTAATTCTCCTTACAGTCTGCCAAATGATTCTCATTATGTTAGTTTGGAGAATTTGGTATCAGATCAATTGGTAATCCCATAATTGATATTTTTCTTTATTCTCATCAGTTGTCTGCATGATATTGTATAGATGTGGTAAGGAGAAATTCTTTTGTGGTCACTCACAGGAGTTAAAGGGTTAAAAAAACAATTTATGGCAGATCAGTGTGATGGTGTTGAAATTAGCTTTTAAGTCAACAGATTTTAAACTGTCTGAACTTCATCAAATTGAATTTTTGTAATAATGTACTACTTAGTTGATAATTGAACACTCTCCCTATGATAAGAAAGTAAAGCCTTTATACAGGCCCAGGTGGCCCATGGAGCCAGCACTTAACTCCAGTTTCCTTTAGCATGAAGCAGCTAAGAGTATTGCTACTCCTCCTTGGATGGGATGCTAATCCATCACAGGGTTACCCACAGCATATTTGCCAGTACTCATTTGTACACCTGGGTGAAGAGAAGCACTGTGAGAGTAAAGTGTCTTGCCTAAGAACACAACACAATGACCCTGGCCAGGGCTCGAACCCGGACCACTTGATCTATGGTCGACCGCACTAGCCATGAGGACACCGTGCCTCCTTACTCTCCCTATGGGGATACAAACAAATTGGAAACAAATATTGCAATTAAACATTTTGTTTTAAAAAATTCCAACTGTTGGGAGGCAAACAAGCCCACTGGTATGGTTGATTTGCTCCTCAAAGTTGCTAAGTTTTAGAGCCCACTTATGGTGTATTCAAAACTGGAAAATGGGATTTAATTCTGATAAGATGAAACAGTAATACTGTGTATTATCAGTAAAGTCTGGTCTAATCTGAAGCATGGGAAGATGTTTTTGTCCTTGGTGGAAGACATCATTTCAGAACAAATCCAGTGAGAAGCAGGTTAGTCTTCCTCGCAGCTATTTTTTGTGTGTTCACCCAAGGCTTTCCTCCCCACAAAGCCTTGTATGACTACGCAGACAACAGCTGCAAGGAAGACCAGGTGTAGGGCTTGAACCTAGCACCTCCCAATTGCAAGTCCAGAGCTCTAACCACTAACCCAGGCCGCCTAGTTTGTTAATTTCTTGGTGTGAAAGCCTCTTGTTTTCTATTTTCCAGTGGCCAGAAGCTGTTGAAATGTACAGGGAGGCAACAAGATCTTGGACAGAACATGAAGAAACCTTCAGAACAGATGCACTACAGGTGAGGTGGGCCCATAACTGTACATACCCCAGAATGAGCAGGTGTTAGATTTTTCCTTCCCATCTGTTGTCAAATGTTTTATCAGTTGTGTTTGGTTGAAATAGGTAGCCTAAGATACTTTCTGAACTAACATTCTGTTAGAAAGCAGAATGAACCAGATAAGATATATAAGTGTATTATAACTGGAGATTGTGTTGCAATGTTTGGAGAACATCTTTTGGGTTCACAGATGCTAGAGGGCAGTGATAAAACCTTAAAGGAAAGTGATTTAGAAGAAATGTCAGCAAAATTTGGAAACAGATTATTATTCCGCAATGAAACCAGCATACCATAGTAGGCCACTGGAATGGGCAGAATAGGCATGGGTATTACAGGACAAAAGTACAAATGGAAAACAGGGCAATAAAATGGGCACTCTTAATGATTAAAACATTAATTTTTTTCTTTTTATTTTTGTTGGCTGTCATAGAAATGAAATGGTTTTTTTTTTTTCATCTTTTGTGCACACATTATGTGATCCTTGTGGAGTCCAGATGAGGCCATAGGATTTATTTCCACATCTAGAAGCCAAAATACCAGAAATTAGTCTAATAGTAAAACCCTTATTTGCTGGTTTAACATTAAATACAAACTGAAGTTTTCCTTATTGCTCATAAAACTTTTCAAGATACATGTACTGTAAAATTCCTCTCATCATCTCTGGTACTGAGTGGTGTCTACTAAATCCTGAAGTAATGCTGTTATTTTACATAGAAATTACACACCTTGTTCAACTTGTCAGATGTTCTCAGTCAGCAGCACCCAGGCTGTTCACATACCTTGCGAGATGACAAATTGCCAGATGACGTGAGTAGTAAAGAATATATTTGCTATAAGATGTGGTGTGGACTTTCTCTGTAAATGTGAATGAAAGTGATCCTTGCAGTAATGTGCACGACTTAGGCAGTAGTGAAAGTAACTTTCATTCACGTCTTTATCCGCAGTTCAAATATATGACTTTCATATATTCTTAACCGTTTATTCATCACTTCACGAGTTTATTTGGAATCAACGTCATGACCAGCTCCCAGTTGGCTTGTTAGCTCAGTTGGTAGAGCGCTGCACCGGTATCGCAGAGGTCATGGGTTCAAATCCCGTACAGGCCTGAATTTTTTTCAGGCCTTACTTTCACTACTGCCTAAGTAGTGCACATTACTGCGAGGATCACTTTCATTCACGTCTTTATCCGCAGTTCAAATATATGACTTTCATATATTCTTAACCGTTTTCTCTGTAAATGTTGGATGGATGAATAAGGAGATAATCCTTGTACGATCTCATTTTTAGGTTAAGGAACTTAAGAATGCTTACACAACAAGAGTGAATCTACAGGTGGACAGCGCTAAACAAAACCTTGATGCTGCCCAGTCAAGCCATGCTGAGACAAGGCAAAAAGTAATTCACTGCACACATCCTGTACTGTGTTCACTCTGCACCCTTTACAGCCCCTAACATCAGTATGCATATTCTCCGTACTGTTCTCTATACATTTCCCAAAGTGCCTAGAAGGAGAATTTGTCTAACAATCAAGAGCTTCTTTAGTTCGTGATCATTCCCTTCATCCGCATGAGCTTAGTGAGTGATTCTGGGGTAATACTGTTGGGAGAATTAGATGCTCATCACTCTTAACCCTTTAACTCCCATGAGTGACCAAGGCAGAATTTCTCCTAACAATATCAATACAATATCAATCAGATAAGTGACGAGAATAAAGAAAAATACAAACTTGAGAATAGTTAATTGATCCAATACTAAATTCTTAGAACTAACATTATAAGAATTATATAGTTGACAGTAAGGAGAATTACAAATTTGAACTGGGAGTTAAAGGGTTAAGGGATAAAGAGTTTCTGTTTGTCTGAGCTTTTATCAACTTGTAATCTTTTTCATAGTTTCGAAATAATTCAAGTAATTCTTGGTTTCTTTTAAACTAATTGTAAAGATAAATTTCTATCAATAGTCAAATACTAGAGTTTTTTTTTCTTTATTCACGGACTGGTTCTTTAGAATATTCTTATAAAAACAATGATATAATTTGTGGGTAATAATTCACGCACTTGTGAAATAATTAATATGCAGGTTGATATGCAGTCTCCTTGGTGGGTTGAAGCTCTTCATTCTGTGGCAGAAAGAGGACTTGATACTGACCTATGTCAAAGAGTCCAAGATGAATTGTCATCCACTGACATGGATCTGGGTTCTATTGGAAGGTATTGTATGAATCGTCTTATTCAAGATTCGATTAACGAGGATCGAGGATCGAGGATGAAGGATAGAGGATCGTGGATCGAGGTTCGAAGATCGGGGACGGAGGATCGAGTATCGAGGATGAAGGATCGAGCATGAAGGACCGAGGAAAAAGGATCGAGGATGAAGGATTGGGGGTCGAGGTTTGGGGTTCGAGGGTCGAGGTTCGAGGATCGAGGTTCGAGGATCAGGGCGCCCGAAGAACTTTTCAAGGATCTTGATCCGCAGTTTCGTCTTAATTCTTTCACGCAAAAAACAATAGCGATAGACAAAGGGCTTGATACAATGCTCCTCTTTTGACACACAGGCAGTACGCACAAATGCCGATATTTTTCATATCACACACTGTAAAAGTATATGATATTAGTTTTGTACAAGTTTGAATTAATCGTATTAATGTGTAATCTTTTTGCTACAGATTTAAGGACCTTCATGGACTACAGTATATTGTTTCCTCTAAGTTAGAATTGATCGAGGTATGCGTAAGTAAGAAATATTTAGTTATTGAGACATCAATTCTCTTTAATTCTAATTTGTTGTGCCCAAGAATTTGAGTGTTTTTTTAGGGCAATTTTTTAGCCAGCCAGCCAGAGGCAGACAGATGCACAGTTAGTCAGTCAGTCAGCTAGATAGACAGACTGACCGTCAGACGGACAGACAGACAGACAGACTGACTGGCTGACTGTCTGACGGATCGAGAAATGATTGGCTGACTGACTGAATGAAAGTGAGACAGATAAACAGGCAGAGAAAAATAACTACTCGATTTTGAGAGGTTTTAGTTTTGAGTTTTCATCCATCTTTTCATTGCAGTCTACTCATAATAACTTGTTGGTATCCCTGGACAAGCTTGGTGTGCCTGCAACGCCGCAGATGGTATTGGCTAGTGCTGAGTGTTGTTTGAGGCCAGCTCAGAATAGCACTGCTGAAAGGTTTGTTATGATAATGTTAGTGACCTTGACTGTGGCGATGACGATGACGATGACGATGACGATGATGATCACTATAACAATCACGATCACGATGACAGGCACGACGACGATAGCTATGACGACGACGATGACGATGTCGATGATGATAGCAGTAGTGACGACGATGACAATCACGACGCCGATCAAGATGACGTTTTTTTAGGCTTAGGCTATCTCTACAGGTGCTAGGAAACAACAAGTTGTGTAAAGTTACCTGCAGAAAGGATTAAATGTGTATCATATATTCTTTATTTTCTATGCAGGTGCGCCTTTTGTCAGGTGGATGATATTTTTACAGAATATGAATCACGAATATTTGGCCATCAAGGAATGAAGGGCGTCGATGAGCATAAGTAGGTATTCATGTTTATAGCAAGTCTTCAATTCTCTTAACTGATCTCTGTGACTTTCTGTTACTGTTAGTTATGAGAATCTACAGCTAAATCAACATTATGTTTGCTTCCTATTTTTATTGGAAGTTCTCAGACTGACGACACACTTGATTGGCATCGCCATGGCAACACAGGAGGATTACGCGCGGAGTCTGAGGTTGAGAAGGTCCTAAAAGTGATACATAACTTTATCAAGACTCATAGTACGTTATTACTTTTACTCAGTCTTTTTCTCTGTATTGTTCAAGTTGTCACACAACACCTCTCCCTCTTTCGCGTGACGTGTTACAGCCTAAGGTCACGCAATTGTTGATAAAAGTGACGAGTCGCGAACCTTATTCTATTGCGAGGTGATGCAACGTAAAGTTAATGGATTGTGCGGCATGTCACGACCTAAGTTACCTATGTTAAGGCATTCTTCAAGTGGTCACACAACTGTGGTTGAGATTTACTTGACGAGGCACCACTCAATGACATTTTTCGTCGTCTTTACAAATGTTATTTTGGTGCTCACACAACTGTACACGAATTGAATAACCTTTTGTCTTTACAGAAACTGGGTCAACTGCACATCTGCAACAAGAAGGTCGTTTGCACTTGAGCTTAATTGATGGTCTGAGAAAAGAATTTAAGGTTAGCATTAGGAACCGACGCTTACACTTTGTACGTACGCCAAACCCTTTACATCTTATCACCATTTTGCATACTCTCCAGACTGTTTCTAAAATTCTCTAAGGTGCTGACAAGGAGAATCTGTTCAGTTTGCTTCGATCAGCCGTGGTATTACTTAGTTTTGAGTTTAGTTAAGTTTGCTTGGTTTAGTTTTTATGCTGAGATAAATTGAATGCTGTTTATTTCCTATTTTTTCAGTTTCTGAGAGCTCTGTGGTTTGCTCTGCGAGAGCGTATCTCTTGTCTTGACGAACTGGACATGTGTACAACTCGCCTTAGGCTTTTGCTGCCAGGAGAACCCGTCACAGATGATATCCACGTGATTCATCCTTTACAGGTACTTAAACATTTCTATTTGAAACCAACGGGAGGGGGGAGTAGCCTAGTGGTTTTTGCGCTGGATATTTTAATTATTTTTGTGTCCGATTTTGGATTTTGGACACAAATGTCCGATTTTGAATTTTGGACACTAGAGTCAGATTTTGGATTTTGGACACTAATGTCAGAGTTTGGATATTTGGATTCTGGAAGCTAGTGTCAGATATTTGGATTTTGGATACTAATGTCCGATATTAGATTTTGGACACTAGAGTCCGATTTTGGGTGGTCGAGTCTAAAAGTTATTCAGAATGGATACGAATCTGTAGCTCTATTAGCAACTAATTGGATTATGTTTTTTCTTTTGAAGATAGAGCAACAGCGCCTTAAGTTCATGTCCGACAGAGTTGTTGCACAAACTGAGTTGAGGAAGAAGCTCGGTCAACTTCTTTATCTCAAAAATTTGGCGAAGGTAAGTTTTCTGATCAGATTTCGTGGAGGTTCTCTTAAAGAAAAGAAGGTCTGGCTCGAGTGAGCTAAATTTCAAGCAACATATTCAAAATATTTATTTGCTCTATTTTCAGACCCAAACCAGTCATGACGGAAAGAACCCGGAACCATGTCCAGTTTGCACCAAACTGCTAGGAGTCCAGGCAAGTAACTAAAAAACGACCCTTCTCTTCATGGTCCTTTTCGACTTATTTAGGTCTTTCTGTTTGTTTTTGTTCTTTCAGTGGAGCGTTTTCTCATGTGGACATTGCATTTGCTGTCGGTGCTCCTGGGTACTCTTGCGGCAGGCTGGAATTGGTCCCCGACATAGGAACGTACACGTGAAGTGTCCGATGTGCCGGATACCTACTCTTGCGCAAGAAATTTCCTACGTCAGCACCGGAAGGAGTCAGGACAAAGATACAGAGGAGAATGTCACTGTCAAGGTGGTTTGAGCTTCATTGTTTTGATTAAAAAAAAAACTAATTTGCCTCTGTAATTGTCATCGCTTTCTTTCAGAACAAGTGCTAAGAAATGATTGATTTATCAGATCAACATGACTCTATCGTCTCAAAAAATTGAAACACAACTTAAATCGCTCTTCGATTTACCTTCGTAATGCCAATAGCACAGCGGCCAATCACAGCAAATAAATTGTCACGAGCAGCCAAAGAGAGCTCAAAGTTGAATCAAGAAAACTGCTTGAAGCGCGGGAAAACGTCGTTGACCAAGTCACGGTTGCTCTTAATTTTGATTTGACTGTTTGAGGAAGTGGCGCGAATTTTCCGGACCAACCACAAAGCAAAGAAAAGAAAAACCGAAGCAATCACGGATAAGTTTCGGCTCTCTATTTTGTAATGGGTTAGAGCACTTTTCGATTGAGAGGCCTAACACCTTAACCAAAGTTATTTCAACAGTCAACCAGAAGAAAGAATACTACCTTTAAGAGCTAATTAGAATTCAAAGTAAAAAAATCAATACCCAAACCGCCCAAAGCGCGGGAAAACGCGGATGACCCCGTCCTGGCTGGTTTGAGCCTTACATCTGATTGGCTGAGGGAGTGGCGCGAGTTTTCTGGGCCAATCACAGAGCAAGTAAAGCAAACTCCCAGATTACTTCCTACCATCAATTGGAAATTGCTCATCCAGTTAGTCTCAAACTTTGAGTCCTTTTTGCTCCTTTAGGGAAGCCATTCTACAAAAGTTGAAGCTGTTGTGCGCACATTGTTGGCTATTAAGTCGGCAGACAATACGGCAAAGAGTCTTGTGTTTTCTACGGTAAGTTTTTGATACTGTATTACTTTTAGCCCTAATAGAAACTCCCCGAACGATTTCAATTGTTACTGAGCAGCGCTCGTAGACTGGGGCCAAGACAAGCGTTTCTTCGCCCTCGCGAAAGTTGTCGCCTTGAGCGACGCGAGCCGGTGAGAAGTCTGCCAGTGGTCTGGCACTGACATAATTAGTGCCATACTCTCGACAAACCTCTCCCTGACTCGTCTCAATTCTCGCTGCGGGCGAAAAAACGCGCGCCCTGCAGGGCCAATTATGAAGGCCTGCTCCAAGGCTACGTACAGGTTGTGTTAGGAACACTCTTAACTTTCACATTCTGTGTTGATTCTGTGAATTTCAACTTTGTTTTGTTTTCCCTTAGTGGCAAGAGGTACTTAGTGTTTTAGCCCAAGCTTTGGACGAGAATGGAATCAAATATAAACACATTACTGGCAGCCGACTTTTTCAGGTTGGTACGAAAAGCTGTTAGGTCTCTGCCGATTGCCGAAGGTCATACTTTATAATGTGCAGTCTATTTTTGACAAGCTTTTTACAGTATCTGTGAAGTAGAGGGAGTCTCGATCGAGTGTCTATAGACCAAAGCTAAAGTAATCACGACAGCCAATCAGAGTAAGGGAAAATATCAAAAAGTGCCAATGAGAACGGAAACTTAAAACAAAGTATTCGCGTAAAGCGCGGGAAAACGCGAGTGACCAAGTCGTGATTTGTTTGAGCTTTGCATATGAGTGGTTGAAAATTTGGAGCGTTTTTATTGACCAATCACAAATTTATGCTTTTTAAGGCGTGGTTGGGAGCAGAGCTCTTTTGAGTATGCGCAAGAAAAGCTCATAAAAGTTGTGTGAGGCCCTCGCCTGTCTCAGTCCTGGTCTTCTTTTATGGGTCATGGAAAGTCATGGAAAATGAGTGAAATTGATACTCTTGAGAATAGCGAATTAATATGAGTATAATTTCTCGACCAGAATTCATGGTTAAGGTTAACAAGATCTCGTGAAATTTTATGACTTTGAAGGATTTCAAACCTAGAACGAGAGGCAAAAGTCTTGGCGCGCTTCACTACTTTTTGAATTTTTTTTCATATAACTTTCATTAATTTTCCCCTCTCTCTTATTGCACTGTTGCCTGGTGTTTGTAGAATAGTCTCTTATTCAGTAGAATACTGTTTGGGGGAGGGGAGGGAGAGGAGGAACTTTCAAGTACCTTATCACAGATAAATCACAACATTTCAGTTTATAATGTTAGCTTACAATGTTGGAGGGTTGACGATCACTTACTAAAAAGAAGCGTGCCAACCACTTTTCCCCACTCTTTGTAGTTTTAGTAATACCAGTTTTATTCTTTTTAGTCAAACCTTCAGACGTTCAAACAGGATTCCTCGGTAGGCGTTCTCCTCCTGCCTTTACAAACCGGGTCTAACGGTCTCAATATCATCGAGGCGACACACGTGTTGTTAGTAGAGCCTGCGATGAACCCCGCCCATGAGCTACAGGCTGTGGGGCGTGTGCACAGAATTGGACAAACTAAGTATGTTGTTAGACTCCTTACTGCTTCCTGTACATTTATTTTTGTGTTACTTGTGAGAAGATGTCCTTGGACGAAGTAAAAACATCTTGTTATGAGTTCCTTATGGATGAGTAAACAAATTTTATCAATGTATAGCGAGATTTCCCCCGATTTTTATTTAGTAGGATTGAACTTCTTTATATGTCAGGCGAGGGAGAAGTAGGGGCTTTACAGCTAGCGTGCTGGACTCCGGATTGAGAGGTCTGGGGTGGAGTCATGGCCGGGCATTATGAACGCCTTCCTCTCCCTTCATGTCACAGAAACAGGGATAAGCGCTAGCAGTGTTAGCCTTTGGCTTGAGTACTGAGTGCTATGTGATGAGTTAACGTAATTTGCCATGGAATTTTATTGTTGATTTTTTTTACAGACCCACCCACGTGTACCGCTTTATCATACAAGGAACTGTCGAGTCCCGGATGTACTCCTTGCTGCAGTCTAAGCCAACGAGTTGTGTTAGGTACCAGTTACTCTCGGTATTTTCTTCTCCTGCAGCGTTTTCCAATGCAGAATTTCATTCGTTCATTGTTGTTATTCTTTTTCACGTCAACTTGAAGAACATGGCGTACATTTATGGGCTTAGACTTTTCAAAAGTAAAGTGTTGCAGTAAGTAAGCAAAGTTTGGAGTCTTTAAGAGAAAACTTACCTTCTATGAAGTGTCATGATGCAGACATATTGTCAAGTGGGCGTAAACTCGACTTTCTTAGCTGAGAAATGCATGGAACACAGAAACGCGCACATTCTGAACAAACCCTCGTACCCAGGCTTCCCTGGAAACTGTAATGAAAGTTGTGACACGTGATTCTATCCTGCTCAACAGGACTGGAGCGCGTGACAGTGAGAATGCCAGTCTGACGCTTAGTGACCTCGCCTCACTGTTCACTCAAGATGAAGAACGCGACGAGGAGCAAGGCGTGACGGGATCGTTCCTGTTTTATGAACCAACAGACGCCCTTTCTCCTGATTAACAGCGCACGTTTACACTTGCTATTGTCTTAGAAGTGTAGATACAAGTGGTTTATTTTTCAGGCTTAAGTCATTTTATTGACAAGAATATAACTAAACAATTCGTTAATGTTAGAACTTGCTTTGTTGGTGCTACACCATTTTTTAATAGAAGAATATAAAGTGTTCCTTTTTTAGCGATTTCGTAAGAATGAAGAAAGAAAAATGCAAGTAAATAAACAATTTTTTTTCTGAAAACTTTTCCACTTATGTAGCAAGCGAGCAGGCCATCGTTGTTTGCGCTTTGGTAGGACCATTTCTTCGCCCTCAAGAAAGTACGAGGCCTCAGTTAAGCAACGCGAGTCAGCGAGAGGTATTCAAGAAGTTTAGTGCCAGACCTCTGGCAAACCTCTTCCCGACTCGTCTCAAATCTCCCCCCGTGCGGAGGAACGCGTGTGTTGCAGCGCTAATGAGGGAGAGCCTGTTTGACGGTTACGACTAATGAAAAACTGAAATCTGTCCGATCTCCCCGACGTTGACATTGACGTTGGAACGCTGACCAAGGGACGTTGATGCATCATTTTGGCAAGGGTCGAATTTTTGCCCAATCCAATTTTGGTTTTTGTATTTATTATTTAAAACTGAAGCTCAGATATGATTGAGTGAATAAATTAGATGGCGAATCTGTAATTGCAGTATCTATTTTACGGGAATTAATTGTCCTCATACGTTACCTCTTCTTATTTACTCGAGGAGGGGGGGTGCCGCTGGAGTCTATCTACAATGATGGGGAAGGGATTCTGAGAGGCCAGTGGCACATACCCGCCAAAAAATGGCCCAGGTACCCCATGGGGCTACTTACTGATCACGTTGGTTAGTGTAGCCGACTTTGAAGACAAAACAAAACGTTGTGAGCGGGAAACCAGGAAATTCTACACCATTTGTGAACATTTTTTCATGAATTTTACATAACGCTTTTAACTACTACGCATGTGCAGTGGGCTTGTCAACCATGATGCTTTGCAATTCTTTAAGAATATCGTGGTCTTGGGATAATTTTTTGGCAAGAGCGAGTGTTTGTTCGAATCTCTTAGCGATTTTGTTCTCTCAAATTACTACTGAATGTTTTAATTTTGCGGTGGTGGGATAAGACAACTACTATGTCTTTGACAGGGGCTAATACGACCCCGTTGGGTCGGCTTCATCCAATATTGGCCGCAAAGCAGCAAGGATCTGTAAGCCCGTCATCTGGCGTGAAACGAGAAGCCGGTAATTCCGAATTCGGAGGTGAGTTTCTTAGAGACAGCGCTTTATCAGCGTGAAATCTTGGCTTTCATGCATGCTAGGATTTATGATTATCGTGTGGCAAAATTTAATGGCAGAGAAACCAATCAAAACGCATGTTTGACAGAATTTTCAGTCAATCGACATGAACTGGTAGCGAATGCTATAGTTCCCCTGGAAAGCGCACACATTTTTCGTTAGATTAAGCTTACCATAAGTTTTACTGTACGAGAATTTCACAGATGTATGGGACCACAGTAGGATTCCCTCAGGTTGTTTACGTTTATTTATTTTATCGTTAATCTTTTCTGATTATAGTATTACTAAAACAAATTACGATCAAGTTTTGAGGATCGCTGTGTTTAGTAACGGTCGAGTTGATTTAAGCTAGATTCTATGTTTCACGGAGATCGAACTTGTTTTCACTTATTGGACAGAATCACAATATCCACAAAACAACAATTGGCTGTTTTCCAAAAAAAATATATGAATATCAAATATCACCATTACCTGTGTGATTTTTTTGTGCATTATTTGACGTTTCTTTGTTTTATCTTTTAAAAGAAACGAAAACCAGTTTTAAAGCTGTATTTCACATGAGTTATGTTTTTGTTTTGGTAATCATTTGAATATGAAAGCAGGAAACTAAAATTTAAGACAAAAAGCATTTACAGAATATGGTGTCATTCAATGATATATTATGTTCACACTGCATATTTGCAGTCTCCTCCAGACAAAAAGGTGGTGTGGTTGCACAATGCTATATAAGATGGCAACTAAACAGGCATTCTCATTCACCTGAAGAGGACAGGGAAAGATTTCCATATTAAAACTTATTGACTGATTGGGAGGGCTAGACAGGAAAATTTTTGGCCCGAGGACAAAACCCAGCCAATTATTCTCCAGTTTGGTGCAATGAAACTCAGTCAAGAAGCATTGTATCATATGATATGATCACTAAGTGTTGAAAAAAAATTGAAAAACATAAAATAAATTCCACAAAAAAACTTTTTCTTACCTTCTTAAGTCAGAACAAGGAAATCACAATCTATAGAGAAATTGTGACTAGTTAAGAATTTACTCATTTTTACAACAACAGCTAACCTAAACAATGTTATTTTTTTCTTTGTTGCATCAAAAGGGTATCAGTGTTAGGTAGGATGGCTTTTTCCAGATCAGCTCACTTTAACCTGTCTGGCCCTACATGCATTAGCTTTCATTAAGGCTTTCTATAAGCTTGTGTTGCTGGAGGGGTTATGTAATAAAACATGACAAGATCTTGGGAGTGGAAGGGTTCACTTCTTTTTTATCCTTTAGATGGAGAAAGGAAGAGGAAAAGAAGAAGCAGATGGGGAACAGAGGAAAAGAAAACCTTTATCCCAGGAATGCCAACAACAATGCCACCTAATCTATCCCCGGAGCAGCAACAGGCGTACATTGGTAAGGGAATGATGAATGATGATATTCTTGCTACTGATTCTCCTTCGTTCTCTTTAATTGCTCTTAGGAGAATTTGTTTTCTAGCCAAGACTTGTTTGCTTCTCACCTTGTGTTTCAAGGTAGGATGTTTTTCCTGTGTGGATTTCTGGGACATTCAGTTTAAACCCTGTCTTCATTTGCAGGGTTTTCACTACGTGCTGGCTGCGAGCTAAATTTACCAACCGAAAAAGAGGTGATCTCTGGCTGTATTTTGGCCAGGGTTGCTTTAGACTGGGAGAAAATTATGTAATTAGATCTCAGTTATAACCTTAACCTTCAGACTATTTTCTTAGCTAAAACCCGGGATTTACAGGAGAATGAATGGCTTGTTTCCTCATAGCCACCTCTAAACCCTTTAATTCCCAGAAGTGATTAACATGTAACTTCTCCCTATAATATATATACATCATCAACAAAACAGGTATTGAGAATACTCAAACTTATCAGGTAGAGGTTGTTCTCTTGATCTAATACCAAATTCTTGTAACCAAGTCAAAAGGAAATGTGTAGCAGCTAGAGGAAAGATTTAGCAATGGGACTTTGGGATTTAAAGGGTTAAATTAGTAGCGTGTATCTGTTTTGGTTTAATTTTAACCTTGTTTTGGTTGTTTGTAATGTATGATAATGAGTTTGAAACAACGGAAAATAGCATTTGAACCAAGGACAAAATTGAACCACAACATATCTGCTATCCCCTGGTTCCATGATTATTTTTCAGAAGTACATCTCATATGGATATTTTGACTGTATGTTATCCTCAACCTTGGTGGATAGTGTGACCTTGTTTTTTATTTTTTATCATTATTTTTTTTCCTGTTTAGCTCAATTGAAGATTGAAGAAATCACCAGAATGCTTCGAACAGGAGAGCTTGGGATACCAGACAATCCTGATGAGAGGTATATCCTTCAAACTGTTCCTTATATATTTGCTATGGTTTAACAAGGAGAATTTGTTGAACAAGCTTCTTCATGTGGTGATCAATTGCCTGATTCTCATGACCTCAGTGTTTGATTTAGGGGTATTACTTGTCAATATTTGAGGTTAATAATTATATGAACTTAGAAAATACCAATCAAACCAATTGGAAAGACTGAAGACCTTATTAGTGAATTTTCTTGGCCATATTGAAGCATTTTCAAGCAGAGATTCGACAGCAGTGAAGAGAGTGATGAATTTGGGGTGATATTGTCTAGAAATAAACTCACAATCTTATTTTAACCCACCTGAAAATATGTGACAATTAAATAGTGATCAAATAATCTTGAATTGCTTCTCACTTTTCAATTTAAACCCTTTACACCCCAACATCAGTATGCATATTCTCTATACTGTTCTCTACACATTTCCTTGGTGTTGACAAGGAGAATTTGTTTAACAATCAAGAACCACTTTGAAGAAAGATGTTTTTTGTCTTGTCACAAGGGTGGAGCAGAGAAACAATTCTGACTCCCCATGAGGAATCTCTTGCGAAGTTCACTTTTTTTTTTCTTTATTTCTTTACTGAGCTCAAAACTTACCATCTCTCTTATTTCTATCTACAAATGTTACGCTATCAACATTGCTGATCCTAGCAGTATGCAGGACGTCTGTCATATGAATTTTGTAATAGACCTTGCTCACTGTGGAGTCTCTGTGGCTCAGTGGTAGAGCATCGGAGTGCGGAATCTGAAGGTCTGAGGTTTGAATCCTCAGGAGGGGACTCAGAATTTTTTCTTTGTTCCATGCTTGTGACAAGACAAAGAACATCTTTCTTTATTTCTTTACCAAGCTGAAAACTTACCATCTCTCTTATTTCTAACTACAAGAACCACTTTAGTTGGTGATCATTTTCTTTATTCTTGTGACCCTCATGTGTGATTCAGGGTGATATTGTGAGGAGAACTAAGATGTTAGTCACTCTAAGGGGTCCAAGGGTTTATATGTCTACTCATTTTCTTTTGCATTGTCAGGTCACCATCTCCAGAGCCAATTTATAACACAGAAGGGAAAAGGTTAAACACTCGTGAATTCAGAGTAAGAAAGAAACTAGAGGAAGAGAGGCATGTGCTTATACAGGAAGCCCTGAGTTTAAATGAAGATTACAAGCCTCCTGCAGATTATAAGTAGGTGGTTTTGCTGTTTTAGTTGATGCCACTGCTTTGAGGTAGATGCATCTGTTGATGCAATTTAAAGCAAGTGATGTTTATATTAAGTTGCCTAATGGTTAGTTTGCAAGACTCTGGAAGAACTCTACTGCATGGTTAGCAGGGCTGTGCTCTTGTAGTGTCTGAGTGGCAGAGGCACCCTCCTTTAGTCCCTGGACACCCTTTAAACAGCTGGGCATGCTATTATCTTATTGAAAACATTTTGGTGTATGCCTGACCAACTTGAGTATTACTACCACAAGACAAAGAATTGAAAGAAAACATCATAGTGAGCATTTGTTTATTGTGACCTCTCTCTGCTTTTTGTCTCTGTAAACAGAAAGCTTGGTAGCCCTTCACTATAAGCATTA